GCTCTCTACCCGCTCATTGACTTCGGCAAGCCGTTTGAGCGTATGATCCTCTTTGATCGGTCGATCGCTGACACCATTCGACCCCCGCAAGACTTCTCAGCGTCCATCCAACGGCGTCATGAGTTCATTAAAGAACGCCGCGCTAAGGTGGAGGAGAAGAAGGCTGCATTAGGGTTGGAATTGATCAACAAGGCCAAGGCTTCGCACTGGAAGGTCGCCACGAGGTGTGCTATGTTTGCACTCAACATGTCTCTTCGTTTTGAGACACTAGCGCCTCCCGAGTTCATCGAATTGGTCGTTACTGGCACGAATGATCCTCATCCCGGTCTTCGCTCGACTTATCTGGCTGCATTCAGTGGGCTATGTACCTCCATTGACATGAGGGCAGTCTACCAGCACAGCTATGAGAAGTACTTGCTAGAGCAAGCTGTCGGAGACAATAAGTTTGAGGTTCCCGTTCCTGAGGACGATCCTGAGTGGACTCAAAAGTTCCTTGCCCAGTTCGAGAACACTGATGAAATCCAATACTTTGTCGATAGCGACTATCCTGGTTGGTTGGTGTGGGGCAAAAAGTTCATAGCCTCATCCGCGAACCCGGAGCCATTCCTAGGATACGACGAGGTCGAGACAGCTGCTCGTCAGCAAATCGGAAAGCTTTTGACCCGCGACTGGTTCAAGCAATGCTTCGAGTACCTCAAGCAGGAACCCAGAGATGCCGGCGCAGACAGATTCAGAATGTCTAATGTCGTACTTCTCATGCAAGTCTTTGACCTCATGAACTATGGTCAGACAGCCGCCACGTTTGACGACATTGTTGAATTGACAAAGGAGATCTACGGAGATGGCGGTGACAAGCATCAGCATCGTGCTACGGCAGAAATCGTCGGAGCCATGCTGTCGGGGAGTAGCGATGATCCTCGCGAGTTCCGCGACAAGGTCTGGGCTTTTGCGGCACCCTTGATGCTCAAGGTGATCGCAGACGAGTTGACGCCGGATAATCTGCAGTACTGGATGACGTGTCTCCATCTCACGGTTGATTCCAAGGACCCTAGACGTTCGAAGGAGCTCATCGACCCTCTGGCGAACTTTCGCCTTGATATGAACTCCAATGCAGCCTTCAAGGAGTCCGCCAAGATCCAACTGCTCGAGTTTATCATCAACGATGCTGGCTGGCATTTCCGCCGTGACAAGCCCATTCTTGAAGACTTCCTGGCCCATATCGACCATCCCTACAAGTCTGTTCGAGAATCTATTGGCAGAGTCATTGCGACGATTTATCGGACCAGATACCACGAGTCCTTCCCCAATGTCTGGTCTCTGCTCGAGCAAAACAAGAGTGCCTCCTCGATTGGAATTCGGCCTTACGAGGCAACTGAAGACTTTACGGCTACGATCCGTGAGGTCTTTGATCGTATCGAGAAGTGGCGTCATGAGCGTACTCCCGGACAGCAAACTCCCTCCAGCTATACGTCCGGGTCCAAGACGGTACTTGTGTGGCTGGATAGTATGCTGGCCTCGCAGGAATGCATCCAACTTGTGCCCTTCTTCCCCGAGCCGTTTATTGACCAGCTGTTGCACATGATGGACGTCAAGGAAGACCCTGAACTTATGCGGCTCGCATACCACGTTTACCGGCACATGCCCAACATCCCCTTCCGGTCCGGCGAGGATGACGCATTCATTGCCGCTCTGATCCGGGTTGGTAAGACAGCGGCATCATGGCATCAGCGCCTACGCGCTCTGGTCAACATGCAAGTCATCTACTTCCGCCGTCTCTTCCTAACCCAACCAGCCCAGCGACAAATGCTCTTTGACGCCGTCGGCGACATGTTGTCCGACGTGCAACTCGAAGTCCGCGACGGGGCCAGCGCTACGCTTGCTGGCATGATTAGATGCTCGCCGGAAAGAATCCGTAATCCCATTATCGAGCAGCTCAAGGCCCGCTTCCAGCTGCAATTGGAGATGAACCCGATGCCCAAGCGCAAGTTGCCTGGCACCGATACGCCCGTGGACGTGCAGAAGCAGATTATCAGACGACATGCGGCCGTGCTGGGCTTAGGCGCCCTCATCGAGGCGTTCCCCTATGCGACGCCGCCCCCTAAGTGGATGCCCGAGGTATTGGCGTACTTGGCGACACACGCGGCGAGTGATCCGGGTGTGGTGGGTAAGGCGACTAAGGGGATTTTGGCGGAATTCAAGAAGACGAGGCAGGATAGTTGGACGGTTGATCAGAAGGTGAGTTTTTCTGATTTTGATGTTTAGGCTACGATGAGGAAGATATGCTAACACTTAGGTTACAGTACTTTACAAGCGAGCAACTGGAGGATCTGGAGGGTGTGTTATGGAAGAGTTACTTTGCTTAGAGCATTGGACAGTGATAGTGATGATGTGGTCATGGGGAATCATGGCCAAATGAACGGTTGAGCGAAAACATGGCGGAAAGCCCAGTTTGTGTGAGGAAACCCGAGGGAGACACGTAGATGACAGATGTAGCATGCGGGATAGATTCCAGTAGAGAAGGATTTCCATCCAAGTGAACACAGGCACTTTGACTCAAATCGTCGAGGCGACATCGAAGCCAAGGTTCGTGATCACCACGATCATTAAGACCAGCTCCATGCTATCTATTATATTTCTTTGAGATCCCGTGGCCACATCCCTCTCCTGATTAAGCGCGAGTTATGGCAAGCAACGAAGCCAGCTGTTGCTCTGTCTCTGTCATTGACTTGATGAAATACGCCCCCAACTTGTTTGTTTCCCGCATGCCACTGTTGAACAACTAACAAAGAAACCTCATCACAAAGGGACGGAACGAATGATGACACAACAGTTCCTGCGGACCGATCCAATGTGGCACGACTCAACTGCTTTGGACTGTTAGTGTGTTGGTGCTGTGCGACGACGACCAACATGTTGGAGACATGATGGGGCAGGTGCACACTTCTACTTTGCGTTGTTGGCATGAGAATTGATTGATTGATTTTTGTAGTGTTTGCCGCCCGTTGGCCGTTTTTTTTTTTTTTTTTTTTTTTTTTTTTTTTTTTTTTTTTTTTTTTTTTTTTGTTTTGGTTGGCAATCACGACCGACGGTTAGTTGTGTTCAGTTCATCCCCAGTTCATGCGAAAGAAGAAGAAAAAAAAAGGAAGAGAAAATATTAAAGCATCGTCGGCCCCCCTCGCCAATTTGTGTAAAACCTAACTGGATTTTTCTTCTCGTCAGCATTAATTCATCCGGTTTACCTAAGTTTATTTCTCCTGTATTCCTCAATCACCAGAGACAGTGCTGACTATCTCACTCGTTCGGATATTTCACCAGCTCTCTCACCCAAGCCCTTCCCCTTGACACCCTTCCTGACCTGCTTGATTTCTCAAACAACCTACCAGCAAGAATCTTACCTGACATCAAAATGCAACTCCAATCACTCCCGCGCATCGTATCTATCGGCGCCGGACTTTTGAGCTACGTCCAACTAGTAGTGACAGCAGCAGCTGTAGCGCTACCTCTACAGCCCGAAGTCGGACAATCTAGCCCTTATGCCCTCGTAACCAGAGGCGGCGGCGGCGGAAGTTCCATAGAAGGAGGGTACTATAATCTTTGTCATTATTGTGAGTCACCATCTTCTAAGTTACCCATACCAATGCTTCTTCTTGTTCTTTCACCAAGTGCCAATACCTACCTGTCTACCTACCTATCTTCCTTCACAATTCCCACCCATCACATAAACACTAACACTATCATCACCAACTTTCAGACCCCACCATAGGCAAAATCGAGAACCAACTTCGCATGGAAGGACAATGCGCCTCAAACCAGACCGGACCCCTGCAAAATACTGCGGTGTTTCTGAACCCCTGCTACACCAATATCGACGGCGGTCTGTTCCCTGTGACTGATGGGAAAGGGGATTTCACCAAAAGCTGTGGGGAGTGCCACATTCCGATCGATGCAAAGGTGCCGCCGAAGTGGATGAGGTGTGTTTGTGAGCGGTTTGCGGGGGATAAGGAGGGGAAGGAGACGGAGGTTGATTTGGGTGAGTCCTTCCTCTTTTTCTGTTTTTCGTGTGATGGGAATTAGAAATAAAAGAAGAAGAAAAAGTGAGTGCTAACATACAATGAGAGGCAGACCAGCATATTCACGTGTTTGAAGATAAGCTTGGGTGTCCCGGGGCTGAGGGATTCGTGCTGACCTAGAAGATTGACAAGCTAAAATATTAATACCTACCATCCATCCCATCAGGCAAAGGTGTGTGATAAATTGGTGGTTTACTTACATTACATGCCTTTCATTGCTTCGCACGAGGGTATGGGTGGCTCAGTTGGTTAGTCGTATGGTTTTGAATGACCGCCATGACAGAGGAAAGGTTTTGCTAGAAATAGAGCCCGTCTGGATGGATTTTTGCTCGAGTACCTAGGTACGTACCCCCGTGAGTGGACGGAATTTCATGAAGCAGCGACGAAGTGGAGGTGAGAAGAAGGCGAGATTGATAATACAAAAAAGCAATCAGACAAGAAACCTGGGTCTGAAAAATGCAAATCTGGCTTAACGTGAGCATCTTTGTAGATAAGGGTAGGTAGGTAGGTAACTACTCTGGCGGGATCTGATGTCAAGAGTATGTGAGTTGTCCGTGAGGCTGAGCTTCTAATGACTTTTTGTCACTTTCTTCGTGGTGGACGGGCACCTGTGTTTTTCTTTGGGTGTTCTCGCGAGAAAAAAAAAAAAAAAAAAAAAAAAAAAAAAAAAAAAAAAAAAAAAAAAAAAAAAGAAAGAAATGTAAGTAATGGAACCAGAGCATTTATACGTGATTTGAAAACAGAGAACACAAATGAAACTGTTGTGCCCAAGTACTGAGACAATGATTTTTATCACTCGACATAGCGAGTCTTCACTGTCGTGACCATCACAAGACACAGATAATAAGAAATACGATTAGATGCTCCATTTTCGATCTACGACTCGGCTCGAAGGTTAATCACACAAATTACTGGAATACATACATGTATATACACAAGTCTATCGATACCTCACATGCCTTGTAGCGCCATGTCTATCCTGAAACTCCAGCTAACAGCAAAAGTCAAAAAGCGAGTCTTCTTTTTCGTTGGGTTTCATTCATATCCACAAAAGAACCCGACCGCTTTGCGCCTGCGCTTGCCTCTGCCCTTAACCCTCGCTGCCTCCAACACATGCTCACTGAAATGGCACACCCGGATGTCGTCCGAACCGCATCGGTCCCCACGAACTCGGCCCCAAACAGCGCGGCTCCAACGGGATTTCCACCGACGTCCCGTCCGACAAGGTTACATTATACATTGTTCTACCCCCCACACGGATTCTCCTCTGTTCCCACGTTCCATCCTCCATCGGAATCCGCGCCACCACGCAGAACCCCAGCTTCCAGATATTGTGCGAGGGTCTGTTGGGAGGCGATTGGAAGATCGACGGAGCCTGCACAAGACGGGGCGCTCCCTTTGTTGCATAAAGCGTGTTATTCATCACCATCTTCATCGGCTGCTGTTGCTGTTGCTGCTGCGCTCTATACTGAAGATAAGCAGCCCGGTAAAGCTCCGGATCACAACACCTACAGCTTGCCGGCAACAGGCCGCCCTCCCCCTTGGTCAGCGGGATATCTTGCCATTTATTATAGCTAAACGCAATCGCCTCCAGCATGCCCTCGTCAATAATGTTAAAATGCACCGGATTGGACTCGTCAAAGTTCTCCCCGTTGTCCGAGGGCCCGCCTGGTACGGGCGGACCGGCTGGCGCAATGACAAAGGGGATCACAAACTGGAACCGCTCCTGGTCGTGGTCACCCTCTACATAAGGCTTCTCGCAATCCTTGGTCAAGGACTCGCGACATTGCGGGCAGCGCGGCAGGTCTTGGTCCTCGTAGGACTTGAAATAGTTGGCGTAGCAGCTGGCCATGTAGTCGGTTAGGCAGTTGTACCCCACCACGTGGCCGCACCAGAGGATGGCCATGCGCTCGAGGTCGTTGCCGTCCGAATCTTGGGTGGCGTTGGCGCCGTGGTTGTTGAGGGGGTAGCACTTTAGCGGGTTGGCGAGGCAGATGGAGCATACCGGGTTGGGTTTGGTGGCGGCAGACTGCTGGGCGGCGGGAAGCGAGAGGTAGCGCCGGATGTTGGGCCAGAAGATCTCGTCTTGGGGGTCCATTCTGACGGATTTGAGGTTGTTGTACGCTACTATGTACTATGAGCGTGTGACTTGTGGGCGGTCTGTTTATTCTCTAAAACATGAGTTTCACGTTAACAAGGAAGTCGGGTACGAAGAACTTTATACAGTCGCCTCATAACTTTCGCTTGAACGAGTACTTTCCCGAATACTTCCCGAGTAAGATGAACGTATGCTTGGAGTCCATTGTTTGAGGTTAATTTTGTATACAATGGGTTTCTTTGGGTAAACCCTTTGTCTGACTGGCTAACCAGCCGAGTCATTGTTGGTTCAGCTTCAAGTTCTATAAGTGCACATTTCAATGGCGCATTGTCTGGATCTCTTTGGCTGGCGGACACCATTAGCTGTCTTTGAGATGTGTATACAGTTTCAACAAAGAGTTCTGTTCGAGTGTTCTCATCAACCTTGACCTGAGAGCTGAAGAGGACGTTAGTATTGGAGACTCGCGCAGTGTCACGCGGGTGAGTTGGGTAAATGAAATGTTGAATTTAGTCTGGTATGTGATGTATCTAAATCAGCTTTGCGAATCGTACGAATTCTGAGGTTACATGGATGGTAGTTGTTACCTACCAAGTTCGGGGCGGCTTGGTTCAAACCCCCTATCCAACATCCTTTTGTTGAACGACGAACAGGAGACATTGTTGTTCATGCTGAAGCCTCCAACTTTTGGGGACGGAGCTTGGTTGAGTTATTGTGATCAAATACCCAAAGTGTTGTTTGGGGAGAGGTCGGGTCACAAGAGGTCAATGGGTGCAGGTTTTGAATGGTGTCGGGGATGGAACACGTGAGGCAACTCTAGTCCTCGACTGCCCAGGTACTGATTGAAGTTGAGTGGAGCCGGGGATCAGGAGATGAAAAGCAATGTAAAAATAGCAGGCACGATACAAACTCCTGAGGGTGCAAACCTCCCACGTTCCTTCCTCATGTCAGTCTGCACGCATGCGCGGGTGTATGCCCTTACCCATTCTGCAAATTGCGTGCGAAACCACCAACTTACAAGAGAATATCACCATTCAACGTCCATTTCGACCGATATAAAAAGGAAAACATCAAAAACAACAAAAAGGGGTCATTTAGACGTCGTGAACATCCAAAAAAGGCCAAAAAATCGAACGTCGCCTGCATGATTCGAACATGCGCTCTCGAAAGAACTGCCTAGCATATTACGTAATAGCAGGGCAGCGCGTTAACCACTCCGCCAAAGCGACTAGTGCTTGTTATTGTTGAATTAGTGCTTCCACAGCGGTCCCTATGTACAGCTTGCGGGGTCTGGTGGTACAGAGCTGGAAGCTGCATGACGGTGTGGATAATGTTGTGGATAACAATGTGGACCTCCACAACGTTTCGACGGGATGTGTTATGATGTTGGCTGGAACAAGTAGTGATACCGTTGCATGAGCGACGACTTGTGTGTGCGCCGAATTGTACAGTCCAATACTGGTTTGAGGGTGTCTCGAGACCTCAAGGCAACTTCCGAGGCGTTTTCATGGATCTGCCTTTTCCAAATCGAAATACACTGTATTGGATTTTGTTAATGCCTTTCCGATTCGTCCTCAGCCATTCTATCAGTCCTTGAAAGGTTTAAGGGAATCCAAAAGACATCTTGTCAAATGTACTCGAATTGAGGACCTAGGTACCAAACGGGCAAACCAGCACTATATTGTATACAGGACAAGCGACTTGGTCACTATTTTCGAAACCAGTGATTTGTCGTAGGTCTCGAAAAAGCGTGATGAGATGTATACTTGTGATAGGCAAAGGATGTCCAGGCCCTGTGAACGGCTAGGGAACCGAGGAGGTAAAGTCTTTTCAAGTCACCAATCACACTGTACATACGAGATTAACTTCGTATCTGCTGCCTACAATGTACCTTACCTATGCGAACTGTACTTTGGGCATGTCATCCTCTCCAGGCCATGCTTTCCCAGATTCAACAGGGGCTACTTGAGATCGTCAAGATATAAACTCCTCAAAGTGAATCCCATTACCATGATATCAATCGCTGGATCTACCAAAGTGAACAGGACTAACTGGGGAACCCGTTGTTGACAGACTTCAAAGACTATACATGAGCCTGAAAGAAAATAAATCCAAACAATAAAACCATACTCGCTATAGGTTCCCTAAACACCAGCCAGTTCAATACCCTTTGACCCCATTTGCACCGCCTCACCAGTCCTACAACTTCCTAAAAACCGTCGTAAAAATCTCCCTACTCTTCTGCAAATTCACCAACCGCAACCGCTCATTATGCAAGTGCGCCGAGTCGCTCGCCTGTCCACAGGGTAAATGCGCTGCGGGCGCGTTGAACTCCTTCTCCAAAAACCTGATAGGCGGAATGGATCCGCCTTCCCGGATGTACAGCGGTTTTCTCGTCTTGGGGGCGGCGGCACCTGTGGACGTGGTTTCGCCGTTTGTGGCGTTGGGCGGGAGGGTCACACCGTTGGCTTTTTCATTATCCGACAGCGATGATGATGGTGATGATGGTGAGTCTGTGTCCGAGGGGGTGGAGGTGGAAGGAGAAGATGATGAGGAGCCGCCCCATGCCCTCATTACTGCCTCTTCGAGGGTACGAAAGATGTAATTACCCGGCACACCCAACCACGGCTCGGCCTTGTTGTCGATACGCACAGTGAGGGTATTGTCGCTATCAAACTTCTCGTACTCGGTCTTGAGGAAGGACTTGAGCTTGAAGATAATCTCCTCTACTTCCTGACCGGGCACCAGACGGATGCTGACGTTGGCGGTCGCGTGGCTACTGATCAGACTGCCATCGGGGCCTGAAACGTTGTATCGGTGAATAGTCAGGTTAGGTTCGCGCCAGCGAGCCATCAAGCTACGCTTAAGCGCGTCGACCGGTCCGGCAGTGGGGTTGCGCTTGATCAGGATGCTGGCAATGTCGTCGTAGCGCAGCTCTTCCTCTTCGGTGATGGGGAGGATTCCGTCGTAGAAGCCGGGAATGTTGACTTTGTTCCTGGGGCCCTTGAGCTTGCCGAGCAGCAGGGTTAGGTCGGTCAGAGGCTCGGAGATCATGTTGCTTCCGTCGACGCCCGAGTGCAAATCGGGGTGCTTTGAGTCGACGCAAACCGTGGCATGCAGGACGCCGCGTAGACCGTAGGTCAGGCAGGGTACCTCGTCGTCTAGCCAGTAACTGTTGGCAAGAAGCACATAGTCAATGTGTCCGATGAGGTCCTTGTGCTTGAGAATGGTCTCCTCAAAGCCTCGGGATCCAGACTCTTCTTCGCCTTCGATGAGGAAGATGATGTCGGAGTCCAGGGCCTTAGCCTGCAACAGATCGGAGACGGCGTAAAGAGCGGCAATGATAGGTCCCTTGTTATCACTAACACCACGACCATAGAGATACCCATTCTGCCCGACAAGCTTGAATGGGTCGGTCTTCCAGTTCTCACCAGCCATATCCGCGGGGACCACATCGTAATGGCCGTAAAACAGAACCCTCCTCCGCTTCTCAGCAGGCTCGAGTTTGCCGCTAAACTTTGCACATACCACTGGATTATGAGGGCCATCGGAGCTGAGCATTTCTACTTGAGCGCCCAGCCGCTTGAACAGGGAACCGAGGAAGGTCGCTCCTTTACGGCAATCCTCAGTAAACTCCGGGCGTGACGAAACGGTCTTGTACGAGACGAATTGTCGAAGGGAGCGAATCATCATGTCCTCGTGCTCACCACCCACCTCTTCAGTTTCCGCAGGCGCGCCGTTAACATGCCATATTCGGACGGTGTTATCATTGGCTCCGGTGATGAATAGCTGGTTGTTCTGATATGTGGCGACAGCTGCTGAAAGAATCTTGGCATTGTGTGCTTTCCATCGGCTGAGGCACTGATATCGCTGGCTAACATTTTGACAAGTACCATTAGACTCCTCGGTAGTGTGGGCTGCGCTATGTTTCTAGGCATTGTCAGCATCTGGACGTAAGGGTGTAAATGGACGGCATGTCGAGGGTTCTTACTGAAGCAAACCCGTCAGTAGAGGCACTCCAGAGGAGCCCGAATCTCAATCCAACAGTATTGATGTTTCCAGTATGAGCATGAATAACTCTTAACCTCTGCTTGGTGTCGAGATCCCATAGCTCGATGATGCCACCTAGCTTGCCGGCATAAAGGAAGGAACCGTCCACGAACAAAGACATGACGGACTCGGCGTCATCCTCGCCGAGCACCATGAGCTCCTGAATACTGCCCTTGGTATCCTCGTCTTCATGGTATCCGGGGCCCTTGTCGCTAAGTCTCCATAGCTTGATGGTACCGTCACCGCCTCCAGAGACAAGAACTTCCTCGTCATCGTCCACCAGGACGGTTGGGCCCTTTGCGATCTGCATGCAAAAGACCCAGCCGTAGTGTGCATACTTCTCAATGGCATATGGATCGACTTCGAGCACGGTCTCGGCTCGGGGTATTAGGGAATAGTAATCCTCGGTGCGCCTAGGGGTAGAGGTGCCGCCAACAGCACGGGAATCGAAGAACTTGTGCTGTCGCCTGTCCGGATGATTGGCCGAGTCGTGTGAAACCTTTCTGTCCTCATCCTTCAGGCCGACCCACTGTATGTACTGTGTCTGTGTGCCAAAGTATACCGTCTCGTTCTGGGGAGAGTAGACGACACTGAAGACGTCTCCAACATCGTACGTGCTGTAGATCTCATAGAGTCGCGTAAATGTCTTGGGGCACCACACGTTGATTATTGGTTCGCAGGCGGTCGAGAAGAGATATTTGCCATCTTGCGACAGGAACAGGCAGAGGACGCTTCGCTTGTGGGCTTGGATGGTCCGGACGAGCTGGTAGGTGCCGAGGGACCAGACAACGATCTGGCCCTTGCTGGTGCCGGTAAAGATGTAGTCGCCAGACACCGCGATGGAGAGGACCGAGCCGTCATGCTTCAATTCTTGCAACTGATCGGGGGCAGTCTTGGGGCCGCCATCGTCGAGCTCGGAATGTTGCAGTGTTCCGGGCATTGTGGCTGTGACTGTGGGGTTTGGCTTTGTGGAATTGGCGGGATTCGGACGCGCCGCAGTCGGGAGGGTCGATGACTCTGGACAGTGACCGGTAGAGATTGTTAGCCAAGAAGAGGGATTTGGTAAAAGGGATGATGATCCAGGTGGGAATAGAAATTTCAGCAAGATGCCAACGTCGATATGAAAGGTGATTCACGTGTGATGTCGACGTGGAGGAATGGGGTCTTTTGGACTGACGACATTCTGGAGGCCATTGTGACATTGACGGGAGTTCCGCCCATCGGCCCCACCATCTGGGTCTAGGCTCCTCTTTCAGGGGGCACGTCAGGACCCCTGAGCCCTGTGGCCCACTGCCCTGCAGCATTGCCCCACGTGCAATGCTTCCACTTTTGATGCTTAAAAGACTTCAAGTTGTCCTCCAACATGCCCGCACATTGAAGCTTCATCTCAAGACATGGAAAGAGAACCCCTCGTCTCCGGAATATCATTTGCCTTGGGATTACTTCTCTACTTTGGCTCAATGTCAAAAGGCGTGATTGGACTTTGCCTCATCGTCCAAATCCCCACTTGGAAGAGCCGACTCCAGCTCTAACGCAAACGGAACGTGGCATTGGGTGACATGAGTCTTCGATGACAAGGAGGGATTAGGGTATCCCGCGCCAGGACTCTCAGATGCAATGGATGACAACCTATTGGCATGTTCTGGTGCTGGGAAAGGGTAGCATATACAGCCTCATCGGTGAAACGTGGGGGTTCAGGGGGCTTTGTGCTCATCGATCTGTAGGTGTGTAAGACGATGATGGGGGCAGTAAACACATCGGGATCATGGGAGTATGCCGGTCAACCGGGACAGAAACATGTAAGTGAAATGGAAATTCACTCACCGTGGGAGCCGTCGCGTAATGCTTTTGATGCTCTCGCCCTCGAGATCTTGATGCAGCCTTTGCAGACTTCATCATCATCACCATCACGACCGTTGACATTCCCCTTTCCGCCTCCCTTTGGCCGTCGGGCGTTGTGTCGATTCCAGGGATCAAACGAGTCACGGAGGACACCATCGATGGGTCCTTTCGCCACTACTTCCACTGCAGCCATGGCGTCTGCTTGATCGGGCTCCGTCGAGGTGGTGGAGCTGCTGGCACGTCGTCCACCTTGCAGTCTCCAAACAAAGTTCTGGGGGATTATGGGCTGAGATGGCGTCTCCAGAGATGCTGTCAAGGAAGAAATGGAGGATCTGGGTGAGCATGGTATATGCAGAACACCATTGCTTCCATTGGGCTTCGCTTGATGCTCGCCCATGTCGCAGTAGCAGATTTCTGTCATGTTTGCTTGCGTATCAATGACCCGGGAAAGTGCTCACGGATGCCGTACGATGACGCGAGATCATGGGGTTGACGACACCATCCATCAAGTAGCTAGGGATATAGAAGTCCAGTGGTGGGATATTCGCATCCTTAAAACCCAGAACGGATGGGTCGAAAGAAGAAGGACGGAGGCATCTCACCGCTTTTCGGATCGCCAACAGCCTCGTTGTTGTCAAGTTCAGCTGAGTCACACGATTAAGCGATCAAAAGGAACGGAATGACAATGGCTTCTTCTTATAATACTCCGCTCTACCCCAGACAGCAGGCAAACATCCTGGCTCTGATGTCCACACAATCAAGGAACTTTACGCCACAGTTGGTGTCTGGGCGAGCTTCAACACTATCAGTTGCAGATAGTGATGGTCTCCTACGAATATTTTGCATGATAGCCGCGGAATCCAGCCCAGTTCCAGGGTCTTTGCTCTGTTGTGGAACAGCAAGATTGAGCCATTCCAAAGGTACCGTGACATGGGTTGCTTCGAGCTTGGGGGCTTGGGTATCACAAGCACAACAAAGAGGTACATTTTCACTTCGAGATCAAATCACACCACCACCCAGCTATGTGGTTTTGAAGACTGGTCGGAAAAATGGCTCAGTTATCTCGATGCCGTATGGGATGAAGCGACATCGGATGGTGATGAGACGCGTCGAGATTGCATATGTCGTACAATGCTGCTGTCACTTTGTGTCCCTTACTGTTGGTGAAATGTTGACTTGGAAATGCCCTGAATTCCAATTCTCAGAGCGTAGAGTCCACAAAGGCTCGCAAAGTTCAAACTCCCGAGGCAGCTGAGTTAAAACAGAAGAAGTAAAAGCGATGATCGCCGTAATGTTCGAAACAACTTTGGTTCGGAATCAGCTGAAAACAGGGCGAAGAGAAGGGTGGAAGATACCCGAAGGTACCAAAATATGAGGCAAAGGAATGTTAGGAGGACGCCGAGAAATGGCTTCAAGGCTGAATAGCACCCCGAAACTCGCGCTGATATCGAGCCATATCGGTGACTTGGCTCCCATAGTCGGCGATCAATGAGACCATCAGCAACTATCGCCATAGACTCGCCGATTTACGCTGATGTTGGCGCAAAGTGTAGGCGGAACAAGAGGTTCAATGTATCGTCAAGGTACCACCCCGCCCGAAGTGATAAGTGATATGGACTGAAACAAAGTGACGCTCGGGCCAGGAAAGGAAGCCAGCCAGGTCTTGGCACGGCAAGGTTGGTGGGCCTGCCCGGAACTGACCCCTGCAAGGCGGTCATAATTTTCTTTGGCTTCTGAGATCATCACCAAACGTCTCCGAACTCCGCGCCCGTATCTTTATCAAAAATCCATCCGCATCCGCTTGCTCCCCCGCCGACTCCCACGTAGCAACGCCACCAGTCCTCCACCACCACCACCACCACCTCCCGTCGCCTTGCGTCCCCGACGACCTCCCTTCATTGTCGCACTCCGAACTAGAACTCGACTGCGACATATTTTCTCCTCTCCGAGAGACTACCCGACCACCGTTCAATTCGCGATCCCCATAAACCACCCGCCAAAATGGATCACACTCGCGACCCTTGCCCGTGGGTTATCCTCAACGATTTCGGTGGTGCCTTCGCCATGGGTGTATGTTTCCTCTGTTTATGTTCTTGTTCTCGCACCACATGGGCAACCACCAGTGATGACACACGTCGAGTGTGGTTGGCCTAAACCCCTCGTTGTCGCCGTCGCCTCAACGTTGATGACTGCTTGCTGCATGGAGTCAGTTACTGACACAATGTCGCCGACCATAGGCTATCGGTGGTACGATCTGGCACGGTATCAAGGGCTTCCGTAACAGCCCTTACGGCGAGAGGAGAATCGGCGCCATCACTGCCATCAAAATGCGCGCCCCTGCGCTCGGCGGTAACTTCGGTTAGTCAACCCGGCCTGACACATCTCACGCGGCTCTTGCCACGGCCGATACTGACATATGGCATCCAGGTGTTTGGGGTGGTCTTTTCAGCACATTCGACTGCGCTATCAAGGGACTAAGGAACCACAAGGAGGATCCGTGGAACTCCATCCTCGCCGGTTTCTTCACGGGTGGCGCGTTGGCGGTTCGTGGTGGCTACAAGGCGGCCCGTAACGGTGCTATCGGCTGCGCTGTTCTCCTGGCTGTTATTGAGGGTGTCGGTATCGGTTTCCAGAAGATGCTTGCGGGCGCCACAAAGCTAGAGGTATGCATGGGAAGGTTGTTGAGAGATAATCAACTGGCGGTTGCTAACTCGCATTCTCTCTCACTACTAGGCTCCTGCGCCACCTCCGTCCAACGAAAAAGTCCTTGCCTAAATACAATACAGCGGTCATTTAAAAAAGCTCGATTTAGGATGCGCAAAGATTGTCGACTATATCATCTCTCTCAACTCCTTTCTCCCACCTGGCCCGTATCGGTTGGGCTAGGCTGTGTATTTGTCTACGCATTTCATGACGGTTCAGCATTTTAGGTGGCGGCGTTCCATGTAACATAGAAACGGGTTTGTTGGTTACGCTTGCCATATAAGGTGGTCGGCGTGGATGCTTTGCCTCAGCGCGGAAGAACAGCCATCCGAATAATATTTCTCTTTTTTTTTTGGAAGACAACATGCGCTTTGCGAACGTGTTACCGGCTAACGTGTTTCAAGACAGAAGGGAACCATGTAACTAATCTACTAGATCTTTTCGCCACTCCAGAACCGCGGATCTTCGGGTCTACCTTCACCGACATACGAACTGGAGATATCCTGATCCATTCGAAAGATGCGAGCATACGCGACACCTTCCTCGTCTATCCAAGCCCGAAACATGCCACCGCAGTTATAGTCTTGAAGGATGTCGGACCGTGTCTCGACGACATTACCATTTGCGTCCCGCACGACCACCAACTCCAGTCCGATAATGCCACCTTCGCCTTCGCCAGCCTTGCCCCATCGATCATCGGCGCTCTTCTGAAGCTCTCCGGACGGCCCAGCAACCTTGGTCAGGGCCACGACGGAAGGAAGGCTAGAATACCGGGCAATGGCGCCCACAGTTCTCGCGGCAGCAATGCGGAAAAATGAATCACCATTGCCTGTTCCAGAAACACCGATTGACCGGGTGGTGGTCAACCCGCCAGACGAGTCTTGAAGAGTGGGGGTATACAGAAAAGGCGAAGGCAGACAATCAGCGATGAGCCCCTTGAGCGCATTCGACAAAACCACCGCTGGTCCCGGGCTATACAACGGATTCCGCGATCCGTTCTTATGAGGAGAAGTAGGATCACCATCCTCCGTCCACTCCTCAGCCCAGAACCCAGCCCCGACAACAGGCGTATCACCAATTCTGCCCGTCAACTTATTCGTCATGCCGCCTGTGCTCGTCGCCACGCAAATCACGCCGTCGACATCCAGCGCCACCGCACCGACCGTTCCCTGCGGGAGATACTCGTCCTTACTCCAGGTCGCCGAAACGCCACTAGCAGCGCCAGTGCCAAGCATATCCTGCTGCTCCCTCTTCTCCCTTTCCAACGCCCGAACGTGCTCGTCCCACCGCTTCTGCGTAAAGAAGTAACTAGGATCCACCATCTCCAAGCCATACTGCCTCGCCAACTTTTCCGCCGTTGGGCCGTGGATCAGCGTATGGCCTTGGGCCGAGGGGACATCAGGCTCCCCATCTCCATTATTATTATCAAGCTTCTTTTCGCGACCCAGAAGATCGTCCCTCCCGTGCTCCAAAACCTTCCTTGCCAGAAGAATCGGATTCCGAACGTGGCGCAACCCGGTCACTCCCACACCCCGCTTGGCCTGACCCCGGCTGACCATGACAGAAGCCTCGAGCTCATTGATGCCATCGCGGGTGAAGACGGCGCCGTGGCCGCTGTTGAAGAGGGGGTTGTCTTCGAGAAGGGTGACGGCGTAGGTGGCGGCTTCGAGGGCTGATGGGAGTTTTGAGGAACCGGAAGGGGAATTGTAATTGGACTGGGTGGGCGTGGTCAGGTAGGTGTGCGCCTTGGAGACGATAGTCAGGAGGGAGGAGCGGTAGGCGACGTAGCGCTCCGGGCCGAGGCTGGCGGGGGTGATGTTGCCGGCGCCGCCATGGATGATTAGACGCGGTTGAACTTGGACGCGGGTAGGGGAGGAGGGTTGGGGCTTGTATTCCATTGTTGCGGTTATGTTTCTTGGTGGATTGCTTGCTGGTTGTGAACTCTCTCAATGCCTCGAAAAAGTTATATACAGACTGTCACGAGTGTGATTTGTGATGTGGTGAGGGGAAGGTAGCAGTGTTGTGTTGACTTATCTCGGGAGTTCATTGCTTTGAGCTGGGGCGGTTGTTTCCGATAAGCTGATAAGCGTTTGATTTAGCCGAGAAGGCCCCCGCCGTCCGGGTTGCAAAAAGGAAGGTGGAGCTTTCAGGTACGTACCTACCTTCCTACTCTTACAGTAATGACCCCTGAAAGTGCAACTAATCCGGGCGGAGGAAATCCTTTGCACTTTCTGGGTGTTTGCACTTGGGGGATCTGGTGCACAGACTATAAAGCCCCCTCCTGCTACTTAAAGACGCTCGGCTATATTAAAAAGTGGGACCTTAGGGCCTCGGTAAATAGGTATAAGTGTTCTCTCCCACCAAGATTGGACCCCTGTAGGTGCAAATCCGGGCTAGAGTCTTTGCACTTTGCAGTTTGCAGGTTTAGTATGTGAAATCAATTCCGGCCACCCAATTCTTTTGCACTTTAGGGGGTTTTTGCACTTGGGGGTGGTTGCACTTGCAGGGGTCTTTACTGTATCTCATCCGCCCCCGCAACAGCTTCCAAGTTTCCCCTTGAGGTTGGTTGACTTGCACATGCCTCAGCAACCTCCTTCGTGCATTGTGCAGCCGTACCCGACCGTGGAGAATGGCGGGGTTGTTGCCGAGAGATCAGGTCTTGTTTGAATGACTGAAGATCCCGCTTCTCGAGATCTCTGCTTTGACAATTTGAACATGGCCAATTTGACTTCCACGCTTCCCCCTCCATATCACGGACCAGTGATCAAAGTTGATCAAACGGGTTCAAAAGATCATGGCAAGACTTCCATGTTACAGGAAGAATAAAGTCGTGTAACTTGTTATTAAGCACCCGTTTCTTGTCAATTTGAGTTTGCTGTTTCTGCTCGACGCTGGATTGAGTTTGTTTGACTACATATCATCATCGTCCTCAATCCGAATCACAATGCGAAGCTTCCTCCGAAAAGTCAGGGACGAATCACAAAAGGTCCTCCAGGGGGATCTAGGCGCCAACGACAGGTCTTTAAACACTCCTGAACATCCCCCTCGATCAGAGGAGTATGAAAGTGGGATGCAAAGTAATGAAGGTACATATTTCATGATTTCGATATCGTCCACTTGATCGTCAACTTCGTTTCTTATCTCTTCAGTTTCGTTCCTCCCATTCCTCAATTTCCTTCTTCGGCACCTTTTGGTTTCATTTCCAAAGTTCGTTCCGTTTCATGTTCCTGGCTGCCGCTTTAGTGTCTGTCGTCACCCGCTCAGTGTCACCTCTTACCTACACGTCTTTCCTTACCTACCTTAGCTATCTCTTGCCCATCCAACATCATCGTTGCTTCATTTGTTAGCTTTGGAAGCAAGCCCCGCCCTCGTGGATGGTATGACCATGAACCATATCAGTATCCAAATCATCTTCTGCCCAAGCCAGGCAATGGTTTTGAAGATTGACACACCACCATTATCCATGTTACATGCTACAGTAGTCAACTCGCCTTTTCGACATCAGTGACACCAATATAACCCAGATGCGCGTTCATAGTTTACAGCACAATTTTCTGGTCTTTGTCACTACATTGATCTTGCTAACACGCCCGGCACAATGTTGGTTAGCCCGTTCCGCCGGCAGTCCGCACGGCCGCCATCAGCATCCGTCTTACCGTCTCGATCTTGATGTCGATAATACTAAACCCGAGGGCGAATCCCCCCTCCATGTCCGCAATGTCGAGAGACTCGGCTTCCAGGTCGCCAATAATAGCGCCAGTCATCGCGATCTCGGCTTCACTGGGAAAATTGCTGGAAAGTGGTATGCCGTTTTCGGCGACACCATGTGGTGTGCGCCTGGGGTCACCAACTTCCTTGAGGATACTCCCGGTTTCCATGGCATGGTCCGAGATTCAGTCTCCCTATTGACGAATGACCCTTTGACCGTGGTGGATCTGAACCTGAACGATGATTATCCTGTCCCGCATCAAAAACAGCTGATCCCTTTCAACGAGGCATGGGGTGAAACGAACCAATACGGTTTCGGTGGCACGAGTTTTTGCGAGACTGATGCCGAGACCGCGACCGCTGCGCTTTACTACCTTGTGGTGGGTGAACCTTCCGCACACTTACTTTGCGAGTGATGATCCGCTAACAACGAAGACAGAATGTCAACGAAACCGGCGGCCTCCTAGGCGCTGGTGTCGCCAAGGTCGAAGTCATCAACAACACTCCCACGGTCACCCAGCGCTTCGGCAACAAGGGGTTCTGGTGGGATTCAAACACCACCGCCAAATACGGCGACCAATGTGCCTACCGCGATGAACGCTCTGAGTACATATACATCTGGGGCGGCCCCCCGAACTCGATTACTGGATGGCCTCACTCCAGTTACGCCTACCTTGCCCGGGTCAAAGCAGAAGGTGCGTTCGATCTGGCCAAGTACGAGTATTTCTGGGGTCGTCAGCAGGGCTGGAAGTCAGAGGTTCTTACGAAGTTTGATGCTGAGACGGCGGTCTGGTGGGCGGTCGGTCAAGGTCAGGTTGCGTGGAATGAGTACTACCAGTGTTATGTGCTGGTTCATTTGTCTGCTTTTGGTGAGTCTTTAATTTCGACCCTCTCTTCCTTTGACGTTGTCCGTGTCATGTCTAATGAAGAGACCTTCTCTAGGCGATGGTGCTGTGTACCTGCGAACAGCCCAGTCTCTGGAAGGACCATGGACCCCGGATGTCCAGGTATACAAAAGCGAACCTATCGACGGCGGATTAGTCTATGCCGGTGTTCAACACCCCTACCTGGATCCGACTGGACAGACATTGGTTCTGTCTTTTACGAACAACAACCACATTGAGGTCATTAAGGTGACTTTTGCTTAGATGCATCTCTGTCTTCTCACTTAATACACTTATTTCAGGAAATAATATCCAGTTCTTACCTCATCACAACCGAAAACCACTTGTATCGACAGCAACCACCTTGCCCCCCTCCGTGACCGTCCCATTAACTGGCGCCCGCAACCCACCACACGTAGTCACATAAAGCGTCTTCCGGCTTCTATGGTCTCTCCCAAACGCAGCAGCCGTGCCCCCAGAAAATGTCAACTCCGTCTTTCCACCGCCAACCAGCACCGCCTTCTTCCCTTCTTTAACAGCAAGCAACGTGTTGCCTGAATTTGTCACTACCCAGATCACTCCGTCGTCATCAATGGCGAAGTCATCCAGAAACGTCGCTTGGGAGCTCAAATCCGCTACAGTCTCGACAGCTGCTATCCCGTTCCCTTCGTGGTAGCCGTCTCGATCAAGCCTGACTCTGTAGATTTTGACGGTTGCGCTATTTGTCCAGTACAAGTAGCCCAGGTGCATTTTGATGCCGTTTATGCCCACCACGCCGCCGGAGGAATTAGTTGGTGCACTCATTTCCGGTACCTTGACGGCGACTTTGTGAAACCCAGTTTGGATGTCAAGACGCCAGACTAAGCCAGCGAAGGAATCGGCTATGAGTACAGCATCCGGGTTGCCGGGTATGGATGCCACGCCGTTGGGGAGGAGTGCCGAGGTGAGTTGGGCTATTTGGGTGATGTTGATATTTTGCTTGGTCTCTTGTCCGTCAGTGATACCGTGGAAAGTGGTGTTGTATCGGAAGTCAATAGTCCATGCAAAGAACGGAGAGCCATTCCCATTCGCATTGTGGCCAATCCCATTGCCCCCGAGAGTGATATTTCCACCCACTACGACAAATAAATCCTCAGTTGGCTCAGCGATGCCAGCGAGTCCTTGGACGGAGTCGAATGTGTGGATCAGGTGCTGGTTCGGGTTCGTGTTGGGATTGGACACGAGGTAAAGGTTGGCGGTGGGAGCAAATTCAGTGAGGAGGAGGTCGCCGTTAGAACGGACGGCGATGTTCTCTAGCCAGGTTGGAAAGGGGAATTGGGTTATTATGTGGTTGGGCAATAGGAGATGAGCGTAGTGCTTTTTTTCGGATTCGGACAGACATGAGGATGTGAAGAGTAGGATGGAGAGAAATCCGGTGAAAAGGGAGGGTTGGCATTTGAGATGGTAGTATGTCATGCTGCCGCGCGGTCAGGCAGCACCTCAGGCGATGGGAAGTGAACTGAGCGCTTGTGCTGGAGTATTCCTTTCAATATTTCTTGACATTCATCTTCTTACGCAAGAACCTTGCGATGAAGCTTATGGTGTTTCTAACATCTCGATGGAGAGAGAGTCCGCGTGCGAAGTCAGACACCCGGCTCGGACATACGGAAGTCATCTACACCGCATCTGCGGTTCTCTATCACTCGGGGTCTTAACAATGATAGTACATTGGAAAAACACATTGTCATTTTGAAGGTATCAAGCAGGAAGTGTCAACGCATTGTTAATATGAAGAAAGAGTACCACAAGGCAGGAGCGTAAGAAGATCAAACAGCAAAAAGCAAAAGGAAAAAAGAAACCACGAATCACAAAAATGGAAGTGGACAAATCGCAAAAAGAGAGGACGTATGGAAACGTCGGGAATTGAGCCCGACGTGGGGGTCGAACCCACAACCTTGAGATTAAGAGTCTCACGCTCTACCGATTGAGCTAGCCGGGCAGCGTAAGCTGCCATGTGTTGAAGAGCAGGCTTCATTGTAGCAACTATAAGGCCTAGCCTATAGCGGGCCTATGTAGTAGGCTCGACCCTGAACAACATCGCTGGCCAACGATGACGCATCATCTCAACTTCGGTTTTTTTTTTTCTTTTTCTTTTTTTTTTTTTGCTAGTTGCACTACTTTCATTGAGCTTCCGATGACCTAGCCGCAAATAACCTAGATGGACCCTCTGCCGAGATATCCGGGTTGAGGCTAAGGATCCTTGGTGCGCTCGTGTTGCGTTCCCGAATTTTCTTTAGTATTGTGGCAAGTTCCTCCAGTCCAATACCTGAAACCGATGTCAGGAGACGGTCTGACTGATCAGAGGGCTAGAAGTGGTTGAAGTTTTTGCTGTGAATGCTTGTTACTGCCATGCCTACTGGTCGAAGACCATGGTTTATTGTACGTGGTAAGAAACAAGCATTGGAGACTCAGAGCCACAGCGTACACGTACAGATGCCCTTTAATACCTAGTCGACGCCCACGATTACTGCCCCTGGGTATCATGCCAAGCATCACGAACACAACACAGAAGTGTAAGATGGCTGGTATGTGGGGGTTGGCGTGCCTTACTGTTACAATACACTTACTGTGCAGACCAGGGCTTACCCTGCACGGTCAGATAGTCTTACCCCAACAGTATCAGGGGCCGCGCCCAAACACAGCCTGACGGCTCATGATACACTGTATTCTGGGGACCGAGTCGTCAGTTCTGGTGTTTGCTCCGTGGGCTAGCTTTGGATTTTCGAGCCCGACTTTCGGCGAACTCGGCAGACTACCATTTGGGCCCATGGCGCCCGATTATCCAAGTTGGACATTCGGGCCTTTCCTGAGGCACGTGGTCCATCAGTTCCACCTGCCAATGCTACCCCCCAACTTGTGTTGATGGGGTTTCAGGCCAATGGCTCTTCCCCAGGAAAATCCATGCGGAGAAAATAAGGGGTAAAAGCGGGGGATTGGGGAAGAAGGCCAGGCTGGGGGAGCATTGGTAAAATTGGAGAAAGCATGCTCACCGGCCAGCCAGAGAGCAACACGCACCGACACGTAGAAAGAAGAAAAAAGCAATCGACTCCCAACGAGTCGTGCTAAGGTACGTACTAGTCCCGCTCGGAGCCTTCGTCAAGGCCGACATCAGGCCGACACAGATCGGCTCGGATTCCATCGCGAGATTCGGCACGCCGCCGCAAACCTTTACAGTCACGAGCACCGGTGACGCGAATAGGTTGCGTGACCACAAAACCATCCGAGATGCATCAAGCTCAATACGTTTTTGTCGTATTCTTCTTTTTCTTTTTCTTTCCCTCGCCGAGTCTACCGTACAATCACTCAATGTTGAAATGGACTGACTGCTTGGACAACCAACCAGCCTACGATGTCAGAGGCCAGGAAGTCAGAGGAACAGTTCTCCGGATTCCGCAAACTAAAGACAGCGCCATGTTACGTCACAGCCAATGGTCTTGGCAAGCTTAATTGCATGGCGGCTGGACGCCCCCAGACGCCGTGCCGCATGGGAATGAAGACAGAAGCACGAGCCATTCCAATCTTCATGTTTTTCTCGGGGTTTTCTCTTCAACAAAGGAAAACCTGGGGTATCAGAGGTCCTCATACATATCGCATATGGCACAAACCATAGCCTTGGCGGCTCAAAGAAAGAAAGAAAGAGCTTGAGCGGACAAGCGCCCAGCCGGCAACGGCATGCCACACAGTGTAGCTGGTAAGAGCATCCCCAGTGAGGAATCAACACTGGGCGGACAACAGCCCGGCCGGCTGACGGAATCTCACACAGTATAGTAAGACCATCCCGAAAGAGGAAACAAAGCCTCCCTAGTTGATGGAGGCTTTGTTCTGACAAGGATGTATAGGACCGATTGTGACATCATAAGGATTGATCAACCTTCCAAGAAACTCTTCTGAGCGCGCCAACTTATGCCAAGCGTCAAAACATGACACAGGCCCAAACCAGTCCAAGTGCAGGACAGGCTCGACAGGCACGAACAGGGTCGCTTGTAGTGTAAACGGTCCTTTTCTGGATCCCCCCAAGACTCCATGGCTCCGTTGTCTCCAGTTTCTCCAGTCTCTCCAGTCCATTCCCCCAGTCCCCTCACAGTGCCCCGACCTCGCCACCCCGTTTCCCCAGAGAAACCCCATGGTATCTCTCCATCCCCATGATTTGTGAGCGGGTCTCTTCCCCATGGGACCGGTGGATCGACACGTATGTACACTACGATTGGGGAGACAACGAACGACCTGGGCAAAGTGGATATGACGATGGCAGGTTTCCAGAAGTCAGGTCCCTCGAAAGAAAGTTGTTAATAAAGTCGATCTGGAACCCGCATGATGAATCCTTATAACTGTTTCACTCCATTCAGCTTTACACTTTCTTTTCCTTACATGGGAATTGTTTGGATACATCTTTACTTTTGATTTTCACTGAGTTGATTCATCCATCACTGAATATACCATTCCCCCCCATCAATCCTATTCAGGAGGGCCCATCATGGTTCTGGGGAAAAAGTAAGCTCACTTCCAGAGACCAAGAGGAGATTCTTCTCGACAGCTACTGACACCCATCGCTCACCAGGTCAATCAAGATCAATGGCGCCGACATTGGCGTCGAAGCCATCCTTCTCGGTGCCGTCACCGCGATAGGAGGCTTCCTATTCGGCTATGACACCGGTCAGATCTCGGGCATGCTTCTATTCAGCGACTTCAAGAACAGATTCGGCCAGATCACCCTACCAGATGGTACAAAGGAATTCGAGTCCATCATCCAGTCACTACTAGTATCTCTTATGAGTATCGGTACACTTCTCGGTTCTTTGACTTCATCATAGTAAGCTCTCCCCTTTTCTCACTCTCCCTCTCCAACACACTCAACCTAGACACCAACAATGCTAACCACCACTTCTCTACAGCACCGCCACCTGGTGGGGCCGCCGCAAGTCCCTTACATTCGGCGTCGGCCTCTTCATCATCGGCAACGTCATCCAGATCACCGCCATGCACTCCTGGGTACACATGATGATGGGCCGCTTCGTCGCCGGTCTAGGCGTCGGTACCCTCTCCGTCGGTGTGCCCATGTTCCAATCCGAGTGCTCCCCTAGAGAAATCCGTGGTGCCGTCGTCGCCTCTTACCAACTGCTCATTACCTTTGGTATCCTCATCGCCAACATTGTCAACTACGGCGTGCGCGAAATCCAAGAGCAGGACGCTTCCTGGCGTATCGTCATTGGTTTGGGTATCTTTTTCTCGCTTCCGCTTGGCGTGGGAGTGCTGTTGGTCCCTGAAAGCCCGAGGTGGCTGGCGTCCAAGGAGGATTGGGAGGGAGCCCGCATGTCGATGGCGAGACTGAGAGGCCTGAAGCATGACCCGCACAATGAGCTGGTGGAGGATGATATGAAGGAGATGCGGGAGGTTTTGGAGAAAGAGCGGACTGCGGCCGTGGGAACTTGGAAGGAGTGTTTCATCCCCAACAAGAACGGTGTTCCCAAGCAGGTGTACCGCACATTCCTGGGTATCGGCATTCACTTCTTGCAGCAGTGGACTGGCGTCAACTACTTCTTCTACTATGGCGCCACTATCTTCCAGTCGGCGGGTATCAAGGACCCCATTCAGACACAACTCATCCTCGGCGCTGTCAACGTCTTCTCGACGCTGTTCGGTCTCTGGGTCGTCGAGCGTTTCGGACGCAGATGGCCGCTGTTCATCGGTGCTATCTGGCAGGCGTCTTGGCTCGCCGTGTTCGCTTCCATGGGCACCGCTCTCGAACCCGACCAAAACAAGACGTCGGGTATTGTCATGATCGTCTCGGCCGCACTCTTCATCGCTTCCTTTGCTTGCACCTGGGGTCCCATTGCTTGGGTCGTCATCGGCGAGAGTTTCCCTCTGCGTACCCGTGCCAAGCAGGCTTCGCTTGCCACGGCTGGTAACTGGCTTGGAAACTGTAAGTTCACCATTGTTTTTTTTCACCTTTCCCACACACAGCAAAAGCTAACAAACCCCCCTCCAGTCATGATCTCCTTCCTCACCCCCCTCGCCACCGATGGCATCGGCTATGCCTACGGCTACGTCTTTGTAGCCACCAACATCATGGGCGCACTCCTGGTCTGGTTCTTCCTGTACGAGTCCACCAGCTTGTCCCTCGAAAACGTCGACCTCATGTACAGCGAGCCGGGCATCAAGCCGTGGAACTCGCACAAGTGGATGCCGCCTGGCTACATCACACGCATGCAGCGCGATGATGAGTACTTCCACCATCCTGAGAAGGGTGGTTCGGATGGTCTTGAAATCACGAATGGAAGCAAGGAGATGCACCCGCACGAGGAGAGGGAAGAGAAGGTTGTTAACCATAGGGTTTAGGCTTTTATGGTTGGGAGAAATGGGTAAAATGAAGGGCAGCGATATGATTCTTGTACAAACTTATGCATATGGGAGGTTGTAAGATATGATATGGGTGGATAGGCTTTTGGCAAGGCGTTGTTGGGTCATGATGTTTGGATAAGCCTTTTTTTTGGGACATGGCGGGTTTGCAACGACTAATGACAAGGAATGAATTGATGTCAAAACGATGTGCGAGACTTTCCGTGATTGTCTTCCGTTTTCCTACCTACCTCGTGTCATCCTTGTTGCTGGCTCTCGACTCCCGTTTGTTGTCCCTTTTCGCGCCTCTTTTGTCCGCCTTTTCTCCCCCTCCCCCCTTTTCTCCTGTTTTCTTCGTCTTGGTCCATGTTTTCATCTCTGTAGCCATAGTTTCATGATTTCCCCCCTTTTCTTCTTGCTTTTTTTTTTTTTTTTTTTTTTTTTTCCTTGTTTTATATTCTTCCTCTTCGATTCTTCGCATTTTTTCTTCTTTCTTTTGCTGTTGTCTTTTAACGCCCTTTTCAGACTTTCTCCCCAAAGTTTCCTCACATCCTGATGTGCAAGCTCGGTTTGAGAAAATGGCTGCAACTTGGTGACGGCTACGTTGGTACCTGGTTACATACCTCTATCCTATCGAATCAGCAAGATGAAGCAGCCAATAAGATCGATTGATCGAAGGGATGGTGAGGAGAGTAAGTAGTATTCAAGCGTGAGGCCCATCATCGACCAATCACCCTTGAGTGTTCGTTTGTAATGCGGAAACGAAGGGACATCGAGACCACATGGCCGACTCGGAAGGATGACTGCAGAGCAACCCGACGCCAGGAGCCCCAAATACAGAAGCTTTGCCACGCAACAGCAACGAAGACTGAGATGGCATCGAGAACGAATGAAGAACGGTCTCGAGAAGCGAAAGCTCTTTCCGTTGCTGTTGAAACCCCATTACCCGCGTATAAGTATCCCCCCCTCAGCTCTCATCGTCCTTCTAAACTCATCATCTGATGAACACAACATTCTTTTCGAGCAACGATCTGCCTTTTCTTGCCCTCTTCCTCAAGCACTCAGCTATACTCCCTCTAACCGCACATCAGCATGGCCTCCAAGACCATTGAAGAAGCCAGTCCTGGTCAGATTCATGCCAAGATCGTCGATGACGCACAAAACATTATGCGCCAGTTCAACACTCCTGTCGCATCTGCCGACCTACTGAACAAGATAATGGAGCGGGAACTGAGGAGGACCACTGCTCCGGCGGAGTGGAACACCTACCACCAGATGACCAATTTACATCGTCTGCAACTAGAGACGTTGTTTGGCATGATACACAGTGTCGACGAAAATGCCTGCGGAGGATGGCAACCTCGGATGACATGGTGGGACACGCGTGTCGTGATACTAAGAGCGGTACTTGTGTCTCTAGCTAGCCTGATCTTTGTCAGAACTAGTACGATCGTTACCATGGGAACCTATGGCGCATCATCCCTCGAACGTGCCGGAGAGGAACAATTGGCGGCGCAGCTGATCTCGAACGAAGGCATTGCTTCCCTCAAAGCTGATTGTGAGCTCGTAAGTCTCCCTTTCAACACTGGTATATTTGATATCCCACTACCGTAGCCAGGAATACTCACCAGCACAAAACGCAGATCCTCAAGCTCGTCACTAAACTCATCGAGCCCCCTACCCCGAAGAACCCCCAATAAGCACTACATGGGGACGATGGCCGTGGCACTTCACCATTTCTGCTCGGCTCGGAGGACATTCGTGTGTGAGATTCCTAGCAAGGCGGGTACTATGAAACTTCTGGACAGACACTTGGCAGGATATTTGGAGCAATAGACAAGAACACACCTTTATCTGCTCACCGTGCAATTTCCCGAGTTTTCGAAACCACGAGCATTTCCTGAAACCATTTTGAGTAGGATCAAGGAGATTGGCGAAAAAAAACTTGCCATTCCGCTGAAACCATTCTCATGATATCGAAGGGTAAGGCAGATTCCCAAAACGTACCTAATAATAGTGGCTAAGCCCGGCCGGCTGGTTGGGTCGGGTCCCCAGAGACCGGAGGCCCGGAGCTAGTACTTGTAGGCCGGAGGTACAGGCCGGGAGGTGGTCGGTAACCAATGGCAAGCGCGGAAAGTGTCGCACCAGCGCAGTTGACCAATAAGAAAGTCCTCGCTAGCCAGAATTGGAAGCAGACAATGATTACAATCCGCTGCTGTACTTTAATTCCATACCGCAAGGCTGCAACGCTCCCCTGGAGTATTCTTTCTACAGACATCCAATCGAGACGATCCTCCCAATGCCTTCAAGTTGCCTTACCTCTTCAACTATCAACATCCAAAACCATACCCCCTGGCTTGGCAGACATTGGCGACACTGAGTCTTCTTTGACGCCTACTACCTTTGATGGGCAGTGCCGCCGATGCAGGCCGTTCTGAAGATGGCCATGTATCAAAATAGAATTCAGAAGCGAAGGCTTGCAAAGTCATGTCCCAATCGCCGATCGACTGCCATGTAGGCTTGTGAGAAGGCCTACGAGGAAGAAGCAGAGGCCTCGTCCAGAACTCAGGAGGTCGCCAGCAGGAGAATACCACAGCCATCTTAGAGTTCACAACACATACCTATGCTTCACCCACTATCCTCACCAAGCTGCCCTCCGACGTATAAAGCACATACCGTGCCTACACCACCAAGCCTGTTGAGTCTCATACACTCAGCACTAGCTACGACTTCTCTTTGAGCTTTCCACTCATAGATCCACCTCTACTGCATTTCAATGTCCGAGGCGAGAGAGAAAATCCGCACTACTACCTACCAGTTCTCTTTCGACCCCGCCGCAATCTTCTCTCAGAAAAATCTCCCACTTCCTCAAACAGTACCTCCTGCTCCCATTCAAGATGACCTCCAAACCCAAAGAATCCACAGACGCTAACGGATCCGGCCATCTCCACGCCAAGCTCGTCAACGATGCGGAAAGCGTGCTATGCCAATTCAGCCTTCCCGTCTGTTCCACCAAACTAATAGACGAAGTCATGAACGAAACACTATCCATATCCTCCGGTCCAGCCCAGTGGAGCGCCTATCACCAACTAGTCAACGTCCAACGACTCCAGCTAGAATCCCTCTTTAATTGCGTTCTCGGTTTTAGCGGTGCCGCTTGCACCGGATTGAAGGGAGGAGGAGGAGGAGGAGGAGGACCGGGGTCTTATAGATCAGCGGCAGTGGTGCGATCCGACATTTTAAGGTCTATCCTTCTTTCTCTCGCCAGTCTCACGTTTCTTCGACTGAGTACGACCATCACCATGGCCACGCATGGCCCGCATTTGGTCGGTCCAGGTCCGCGGGTGAATGGGATGATAAGTAAAATGCAATTGGGCAGCGCGAGGCTTGTCAATGATGAGGGGCTGGTGTCCCTTAAGGCGGACTGCGAGCTTGTAAGCTGTCGATCATTTTACTCATTTGATAAGAGCTTAACTTGCCGCACCGTCCCTAATGTCCTCATGCACCCTATTTTGACTTCGCGCACCCTTTTCTCTCCACATGCCAACCGATGGCAGCTGACATGTAAAACTCCGCGTTTTGTATCGTAAAACCCACTTTTAAAATGTCATGTAACATCCAATCGTGTGTCAATAAAACTTAACGATTTCAATATGCGCCGCACAGTCAAGGCCACATTTCTGCACAGAAACATCGCTTCACAACCACATTTACACCCCCCAAATCGACTGCACTCATTCAGACAACCAACAGCGAAGCGCTCGTACTTTACAATTAACTGTATTCAATTACTTTTATACCCTTATAACTAAGCGCAGTGTAATAGCCTGAAGCATCGAGAATACAGTAAGTTATACGTAAAAACGCCTTGTAATTATGACAGCTGAAAAGGGTGCATGAGGACATTAGGGACGGTGCGGCAAGTCAAGCTCTTTGATAAGTATCACTATTCGGGGTACGGCGCTAACATCCCTCGGCGTTTAGATTGTCAGGCTTATTACCCTGCTTACTGCTCCGCCAGGGAAGAAGACAGCCAAGCCCGATTCAGAATGATCATATTTCAGGCGCTGAGTGCTGGCAAAGTACATGAACAGGCTATTTATGTGTATGACAGAGCAAGAAACGTGTTGATTTGGCAGAAAGAAGCAAAAAGAAATCCATTGGTCTATTTAAGAATCGTAGAATTGAAGATTGACTGGACTGATATTTGGCCGTAGTATCTCTGCAATGGACGGAAATTTGACACGACCAACCAGACACTCTCTTTCTTGAACACTGTTACAAAATGAGTTGATTAACGTTTCTATCCCATGGATATTATGACAACTCCAAATAATTCCCAAGGGTCCCAGATCGTGCCATTCTCTCGTCTTTCCAAGCGGCTTTCTTTGTATTACCGGGGCCTCCATTTGTGGTCTCGTGCGCTTGTGGTCTCCTGGCAGTAGATCGCATTTGTTCGCACAAAACTTCATTAAAAAATGCAGAGTTTGTCGACATGTCCCTCGCAGTACGTGGTAAGCGTGATCGTGTAGCGACGTAGTTTTCGGGAGGGAGACTTATTCGGGACCTGGGTTGCAAGGCATGACAGGCATTGGCGGAAGGCGCGTGTTCCAGCATATTCCACCATCTTCATTTGTAAACCCTTATATCGATCAACGGTTATTAGAGTCCTAGATGTGTGCTACTTGTGACACCTGGCTCTCGGTCATTCGGGGATGACAAGGATTGCATATGGGGCCGGATTCCGGTCGGAAGTCGTCAACTGCGGATCCGGATCCGGGTCGCCAAGACCGCGCGGGCCGTACACTAGATAGGTGGGTCGCCGATGCGGTGGACCTTATCGCCGACCGGATCTAGTCATTCTGCCACGTCAGTGAACACACATCGCTGCAAAGGAACGGAATACAAGGGCGGGAGCTGGCACGATTCTTCATGCTTAACCCCTTTGTCGGGTGTAAGAGACCCATACTGATTGGTATCTCTCGACGCGGCCGTATGGTGATATTAAGTTGATTGTCGTCGTGTCACTGTCCACAGCAACGGCGGCGGCGCCGTCAAGGACCGCCACACGTGAGATTTGAGCGGTGTGTCTGGAATGTACGACTTGTCGCTTCCCGTCCCTTGGGATGCGGTCCACGCGGGTCGGTTGTGCGACGTGGGCGGTGCATTCAACCGGAACGTGCTTGACATGGGTTGGCCGCGAAGCCCAGTTCTACGTGGAGGGCGTGAACGGTGCGCACGTAACCCGCTTGCCTCGTCAGGAAAACGACTGCTTGGTTGCGATTGACGGTCATGGTTCCTCGGTTTGTTCAATGCAGTGTACAGAAGGCATCCTGCAGTCGCGCCTTAGTCAGGTATCCTGCAAGGGAAGTTAAGAACCGGTAAGAAGAAGGGAAGAGAAAAAGACAAAAGGGATCCGGACTTGTTCCGCGGACTGAGATGGGGGATTTCGACTGACCTTCTCTCCCTCTTCTCCAAACTTCCTCCTCACTTTTCCCGACTTGTTGTTCTTGGCCAGAATTTGACAAGCCGCCATATTCACCAGTCCAAAAAGCAACACCACTGCCTGGTTTCTCCCCACTTGAGCTCTTCTTGTTCCATCGGCATAATGGGTTCCTCATACCGCACCGAAGACAACGGCAAGATCTCTGACCTTCCTCAGTTGCACCGCTACATTACCGGCCACAACGCCGATGGAAAGGCGGTTGTCCACAGCCAGAACGATTTCGAGTGGAAGTCCTACGCTGAAGGTGAACTCGCCTTCAGCGTTGCCTACACGACATCGGAATTCCCAGTCAACCTCAACAAAGACGCCGACGTGGCGGAGCACACGCGAGTGCTGGAGTCGGGAAACCTCGGGCTGGTCAACCCACGCGGGACGGTCTTTCGCTGCGTGGACTTTGCGCCTGGCTACGCATGCGGAATGCATCGAACGCAAAGCCTCGACTACGGCATCGTGCTGGAGGGCGAGGTAGACATGGTGCTCGACAGCGGGGAGGTGCACCCGATGAAGCGGGGCGACGTTGCGATCCAGCGGGCGACTCAACACCAATGGGTCAACAAGAGCAAGACTGAGTGGGCGCGCATGATGTTTGTCTTGCAGGATTGTCAGCCACTGGTTGTCGGTGGTCAGGAGTACAAGGAGGACCTGGGCACCAACTCGGGCTTGCCGGCCAGTGGAAACTGATTCTGGTTGTGAAGGGTGACCGACGCGGGGGAGAGTACAATGTTGTTAGAAGCAGTAGTCTAGTTGGGGCACTGGGTATGAGATGAGGTTCCAGTTTGTATCGAGAAGAAAACGAAATGTCGTGACGGGAACGGGTACCGCAATTCGTATTTGTTTACTCGCTGATAAGCTGTTATCGGGTGTTTGCCAGCTGGCATCTCGAACAATTGTTTGAAACGAGACTGGCAAGTACTTCCTGAACCTCCGAGTGACGTCACCCACCCCTGTGCCACACCACACCACAGCTTACCTCTACTGCCAGGCTCGGGGGTGCCTGATTCCATTCCGGTCTCTCGTTCCTGAATATCGAGATATTTCTACATTCCAATGCTTCCTATGGACCACACCACTCGCCCCGTTCGATTCGACGTACGTACAGGATGGATGGCCCAACACGATCGGATCCTCTGCACCTGCACGTCGACCGCAAACCCCAGCGAGAATCGACGGCACCACCCCACCACGTACTTTCTACGAGAGCCTTTCCAGCACAATTGAAGCCAAGCTCGGGAAAGTCCTCTTATTTGAGCTATCTGCCATCATGCGTACCGTCTCTTGACAGGTCATGTCCTACGAGCAATGCCGAAACCAAGACCGTAGCGGGCTTCCGGAACCCTTGGCCGAGCTGGTATACACCTACGTGCTTCCAAGTCTGGGATCATCTCAACTGGGGAGAAGATCAAGACCCATGCATCGACCTAGCCGCTTTACACCTACGCCACTCTCCTGTCACAGACAAGCTTCCAGAGAAGAGAAAACGACCACGCTTCAACGATGTTAAGGACTGGCCTGGTTCTTCTGGCGCGAAGGCTGCACGACTATTGCGTATCGAGACCCCCGATTTCTCTTTCGATTCTTCGACATCACCACATGCCAAAGTAACATGGCTGGGCCACGCGGGCGTCTTGGTTCAATTACCTGCCCTTGATGCCGCCAAGGGGTCTCGACCCATCCACTGTCTCTTTGATCCCATATTCTCGATGAGGTGCTCACCCAGTCAGCGAGCAGGACCCATTCGTGCCTATCCATCACCATGCCGCGTCCAAGACCTGCCCCCGATCGACGCCGTCTTCATCAGTCACAATCACTTTGACCATCTGGATCACGATACCATCATGGCCATCTGGAAGGGCAGCAAGGAAACTGTTCGCTTCTTCGTACCTTTGGGAAACCGTACGTGGTTTGTCGACTGTGGTATATCCGAGGAACGAGTGACGGAGATGGACTGGTGGGATTCTGCCACCCTTTGCTCACGTCCGGGAAAGGAGAGTCCCACTACACCAAGTCTCCAAATATGGTGCACACCGGTTCAACACAGCAATGGAAGGGCAGGCGTTGATGCAAGTTCTACTCTCTGGTCGAGCTGGTATCTTCGTCGCCAAAGTCCTGAAGGTATATATAGCATATTTTTCGCTGGCGACACGGGCTATCAGTTTCACGGTTCCCCGGATTGGCCTCCCAGTCCGCCGTTGGGAAAGAACACACAAAAGCCGAGCACTCAGGTGAGTGACGATGCCGAATATCCTCCATGTCCTGCTTTTGCCGAAATCAGAGACAGGCTAGGCCCCCCAAACATGCTACTGCTCCCAGTAGCAGTCGGGTCCACATACTCCTACTTTCGCAGCTTCGTTCCCTTACCAGATTGGATCAATCCTTTTCCACGGCACAGCGTGGGTATTACTGCAGGTATACACATGCCGCCATGGGATGCGGTCCGCGTATTTAAGCTCATGACAGAGCTCCTGGACAAGGACACGACCAATGAGGGCGCAAGTGGATGCTCAGATCCAGGCAATTTCCCGAATCCACACCCACCGGTAGCAATAGCCATGCACTGGGGTACCTTTGTAACAGAAGGTGCCGAGGTTCTGAAGACTCTTGGGCAACTCGAATGGGCTTGTGAGCAGCAGGGAGTGCACTTTGCCAGGTCCTTGCCCGTTCCTGATAAGGAGAGCGGAACTATTGAACACGGAAAGAGGCCAAGAAAGGAAGTTCCTGTATTCGTCGCCCTGAATCATGGGCAATCTGTTGCGCCCAGATAATCGGGTAGTTTGAGGGGGATACGCCCAAGGTATGACATTGGATAGCGTGTCCGTCGATGTCTAACAAGTTCTTCCCGCCCCGACCAGCTCCACTGCGATTCCTCCAGATCAGTTGTCAGTCCTTCCTCTTCATGCCATACCATGATACGTTCTAGTAGCTGGTCACAGGGGTTGCCCAAACATCCTCGTTTCAGAGGCATAATCATGGTCCACCTTGACAAACTCCCAAGTCATTCGCTGCTTATCCACATCCGCAGTCTTTATGTTCATTGCTGCGAGACTCATGATCGGCTCAACAGACACCGCCTTGGCCGGCAAAAGACACACAGTTTTTTTGAGATCAACCCTCTTCAGAAGCAGATATCCTTTGTCATCCACGGATTTCCTCACACAAAACTGCTCATTTTCCCCTAGACCCCCACGCTTGAAGCTAGTCGCTCTTAAAAGAACCGCCGCGGGCGTCTTGACTTCATTGACGTACGTACAAAAAGACTCAAGCCACAACCCCGCCGCTGCGTTCCGAAAACAAAGCCATCCGTCTGACTCCTCGCACTGCCAATGCCAGTTGCAAGTACCCGCCAAGGTCTTTGCCTGGACCGCGTCAAGAACGGGCGGGTTGGGAAGTAGTTCAAGAGGAGTCGCCAGGCGTAGATGTCCCTCGACGACAGTGAGTGCCTGATTCCCTTCCCCACACTTGGTGACTATGATGTAAGTCGAGCCGGGGCCGGGTGCAGAATCACGGGTGATATAAGGGATGTTACTCCTGCGGTTCGGCGTGGATGTGGGTGCGGACGAAGACGTCGGCGTTTGGAGAGCGTATGACTGGCTGCCGCCGGCTGTGCAGGCCGAGACCATTGAGACACTATCATCAAAAAGATCTTTTTCGTCGCCGAACAGGAAATTTCGCGGTGTATCAGCCATGATCGCGATTTATTCTGTGGTGAATGTGTTGATCGAAACGACGCAGTGGTTGGCAAATAACGTGAGAGGAAGAAGACAGAGGGTAGAGAAAGGTCTTAAATGGCTCGAAAAACTTGCACAGACCCAAATTATTGATATCAGAATGACGAGGGACAGGGGTTTGATAAGTTGGTAGCGGTCGTTTGCCTGACGAATGGACGTCGGAGGCCCAAATGCAGGTGTGCGTTTCCGGGTGATGGAGGTGAGGGGGAGGCCCACGACGGCAGGCATCAAACGACAAAGAGGGAACTTGGTGAGAGCAACTGTCGTCCAGAGAGACGAGAGCGCAGGTTTATACTTGATAGCTTCGAAATTGGTGATTCTGGCGTCGAGTTAGGCAGAGGTATGCTCTCCTGCGCAGATAATGCAGCCGAGAATATGCTGGAAAGCTGCACCTTCCATCGCCGTCCTCTACCGCAAATACTTGGGGGATTCGATTTGAGCTTCCCTGTAAGCCAGGCAGAATCTATAAGCATACAATACAGGACTACGGTGGTTTGTTTGTATGTTAGTTTGGTTCTTCTTACGGGACAGAACAAGAGTATGTGGAACAAGGCAATCTAGAGACCTCGTTGACCTCAGGAAGAGAACGACTCGTTTCCGTTTGTAGAGTTTCGACCATGACTAGGGTTTTCAACTGCCACAAAAGTATCTTTCCGCCCTCTAAGGCTAGTTTGCAGCATCTATCCAGGAGAATCACGGCAGCTTTCCCAAGTCTAGTTCTGGTAAGCTCTGGCTTTTTTTTTTTGTAACAAACTAACAAGCATAGGTACCAGGGCTGGATTGTACTGCAACATCCATACCTACGGGTAATCCTGTGCAAAACGGTGACTTTGAATGTCCCCCGGCCACCCTCCAAACGCCCTCAACAAAAGAGGTAGAAAAGACAGGCAAAAGGAGAATCGAAATCACAGTGCCCCGGGGTGGTAACATGTCTCCCCCAATCATCTTTCCCGGGCATAAAAAGTATACAAGTATACTCGTACAGTGTGCTTGGTTTCTTTGTCCTCCCTCCTCTGATCTGTAATGGCAGTAGAAAAAAAAAACCACTGCTGTAAGTCTACAGACCTCTGTGAAAGGAAGGAGTGTGTGTTGTCCTGACTCAGATTGGCAGATGCCAAAAAGCAGTAAAACATATAGATCGGTGTCCTGGTCTCCCCGAATCCAAAATTGCTCGCTTTTTACGGTAGCCCTCGTCCAAGGTGCACAGAGTGGCCGCGTCCAGGTTCAGTTAGTGTACTATCTTTACTGCTGCAAAGTATGGTCTACTTCAGATAAGGTCCCATCTCACTTGCTGGCTGACTACCATCTGGACAGCCACTTGACGAGGACACTTTGACTTGGGTTGTTGTCACACCACCACCATTATCAGTGAGCCTTATTGACCTCTACTTTGGGCATTTACCTTGTCCAAATTTAGGTGGTCTGCTCGTCTGGCACTTGAGTCTTTCAGGGCCTTGACAAAGATAGGTTGACAAAGACAGCTCGATAAAGACATTCTCTAACAGATCTAGGATTTTGAATACAATGGCTTTGACTAAAAAACTTCTGAGTGTACGAGAGTATCTGCCTCCTAAGGTAGGAGCATGAGACTTTGTTATTGGACCACGGACGTTGATGTTGACTCATGTGCACAATAACTGTTCAAATGATTGAACAATACATGTAAGGGACGAAGTCCATCACCCCCGCGATGATCGCTTCACTGTTAAGGTTCCTCCTCTGTATGAAATGATTATACCCTCCCCAAGTTATGACGCAAATATTCCTCGGGACTCATTGCGTGAAGATATCACTTACCTCGTCATCTTCGATCCTGGAAACTCCAACTTCACGAACATTGTCTACAAACACCATGACCCATTCAAGGCACGTGTCCATCGAACACGATTCAATATCGTCCACGCAAGCCAGGTGAACAGAAAATCCGTCATTGATCCCATTTCCTCCAGGCATCAAGAGACGCCACCCAGCAGTGAGTGGATGGATAACAACAGATGTGAACAATGGATGACTCTGGGGTATAAATACCTTCATGGAATAACCTCGCCAACATGCAGTCAACTGGACCATCAACATCAACAAAAAAAAAGCTCTAAACGGAAGAAGCCCAACCACTGACTAGGTAAGGTAAGGTAAGGTATCATCTCTACACCAACTTCACCTCATCAAATCACGGAAAGAAGCAAAATGTGCATAATCCAAAAAGGCCAATACGACTGCTGGCACTACATCACGGTGCGATACTGGCCCTGCCGTCGCGCAAGACGAAGAATGATAAGGAGAGCAAGCCTGAGAAGAAGAGGAAGAAGAGCAATGTGCCCAGAGTGGCAATGCAGAGAGTTAGATCAGATACTGGACATGTCGGGCATGTGTCCGGTTTGTGTGAGGTACCCTGCTGCTAGGAATTTGTAAGGAGATGATGGAACTGGTTAGGGTATTACATACGGGTTGTCAAGGGTCGGGGGTAGGGTGGATATTACAGGATATGTGTGCCATTCAAAGAGTTTTGGACGGAACGTGGGGAACATCTTTGCGCATTTTATTGTTACCGAAACCGAGAGGAGGAAAACATGGAAGAGAGGAATGTGTGTGTGGTTATAACGGTGAGGTTTAGGGAGTTAACAGGGTTGGTGAAGAGGTTTTCTTTCTTTAAGGGATATTTTGGTGTGTGTGGATGTGGTGTTTTTGTTGGTTGAGTTTGAGTTTTGGGAGGGGACGGATGGGAATGGTGAGCACGAATAAGCCAAGATCAAGAGCGAGATGAAGGAATGACGATGGAAAGAGGAGTGGAGGTGAGCTGGACGGAGTCGTATTGAGAAATTCTAGACGCTGGCCTCATGGTAAGGTAGGACCTGGCACGACTTGATTTGACACCTAAATGCAAGATTTACATAAGGTAGCATAGAAGGCATGAAAAAGATTGGTTTTCGAAGATCCAATAACTCAACAACAGTTTAAGTAAAGGAAGAGATTGCGGCGATCTCACCATTACCAATAAAGCTTCCACCGACTCAACGCCCTAGTAGAAATGACCTCCCCATGCGCATTAACCCCCTGATCCAGCACCCCCGTCGTCGCCACAAGTGCGACATACCCAATCTGATCATCTGGCCTCACATCCGCCATCTTGACCCTCATCCTCCTCAGTATCCGCGCTCTTTCCGGTCCACCAATGGCCGACCCGCCTTTAGGCACTGGTATAAACGGATTCTCGCGCGTCAAGCTCGATGCATGGTCGAGGATATCCGGCGCCGGCGTGGTTAACCGTAGGAACAGGCCGGCAAGCGACAGGATCTGCAGGATGCTTGTGCACAGAATGAGAATGGCGACCCATTGCCGGTTCAGTCCGTAGATCTCGCGACGGGTGGACTCGGTGGCGTTGTTGACCATGACCATTGATGCGCCTTGGTATCCGCTGTATAAATAGGGGCCGGGGTAGACGGGCTGAGACATGATGTGATCGGTGTCTACGGGGAACTTGGAGTAATTGGAGTCGGTGGCGGTAAAAGGATCGAGCGAGGCGTAATAGTACGTGTTTAACAGGAGGGTGAGACGCTTGGAGAAAGCTTCGTCTGTGATGTTGGTGGGCCAGGGGCTGAGATAGTTCAACTTGAAGGGGAACTGGGTGATGCCGCGGAGGTAGTTGTCGATTGAGGATTGGTATGTGGGACTTCCGTTGTCGAAAAAGCCCGCCGCAAAGGGGAAATTCAAGAGGATGTTGTGCACAACAGGCATTTCTAGGGTAAAGGGAGAATGGGCGTCACCTTGGTCCCATTGCGGTGATTTGGAGCGCCGAACTCGTTGGGCACCGCAGCCAAGTGGCGATGAGCAGAGGATGTCGATCTCGAGTGGGACGTTTCGAAGAGTGCAGTTGTATAAGGTGTAGGTGTGGTCTCCCTCATGGGAACCAAACATGATGTGAAGGTGTCCACCTGACGTCCGCTCTGGTGTCGAATAGTCTGAAGTAACAAAGAAGCTGGCTCTTTTGTTGTCTGGTGATCCAATGGGTTCGGTGTAACCAGGGAGTCGTTTGCCGGTTGTGTCATTCTTCTTGTCGACATAGTATTTTGGAGTAGTCCATCTATCCGCAGGTATGTAAGCGAGTGTTTCGTTGACTGAGGCGCCGCTTTGCACCTGTTTGCAGTCCAGATCATTGTAAGTTGCTTCAGCCGTCAAGCTGTAGGAGGTGGTTGCGTTGAAGTTTGCAAGCCCTAGAATCTTGATACCGATTAAGGAGGCGTAGTCCACTTCCTCCATTGCGGCTTGATGGATTGTTTGCCAATCGTCATTCGATGGATCTATGAGGCGAGGAATTCTGGGCCGCGCCCAAAGGTCAGTCGTGGACCGCCTCTGCCCTTCAGCTGCCATAAGGCTGGAAGTGAAGAGAGAATTTGTAGCTGAGGATGCTACCTGGAGGCCGCTCGCCGAGGAGAAAGCTGACTCGGAGTCTGTTGTAGAGTAATACACGAGTGCCTTGGAGTCCGAAACTTGGATCGTTGTAAAGATTAGACGCGACGAGCTCTGGCCGCCAAGGGGTGAGAGAGCCCATGTGAGGAGGATCATGATACCAAGGCTGATATGGGATCGCACGCTGAACAAGCGAAATAGACTTCCGGCGAAGCTCTGACTCCCAAGAATCTGCTCGAGGGCACCGATGGAGATGCCTTGAGATCGGGTGGTACTCCACAGGCCAAGTATTTTGTAGAATCTGCTTGCTACAGCCGCAAAAACGATGGGATAGATGGTGGGGGCGAGTTTGGTGGCTTCGACGAGGCTTTCACCATGTTCGTTGTTATATGTCGGTTGACCTTCCAATTGAATAGCGAGGGCAGCAATAACTGTGTAGCTTGGGGTCAGCAGAGAGACCCTTTTGACTCGAGTGCATGTAAACCATACCAAAGAAGGCCACTGGCGTGACACTCAAAATGAAATCGCCAACGGTCCCAATCCACCAGATATACCCTTTGGGTGCGATTTTCTGAGGACCCTGAGGCCATTCGGGCGCAACCTCTTCATATGCCACGGCTGTCATGGACTTGTCCAGTCCCTTCTGAGACACATCCTCTATCGAAGCTCCGTTATAACTTGTTGTTTCGGAGACTGGAGCAAAATGTAACCTTTCGTCATATTCACCCTGGCCCTGGGGTAGATGGTTGAGTTCATGGTAGTCGGCCATGGTGATGTATGCTTATCGTGAATGATGAAGGGAAAGATCCAGTCGTGACTTCAAGGAGGGACATTGTGAGTAAAACGAAGACTAGATCTTCAATACTGACCTGCCTATGTTGTCGGCGGATCACTACTATACATGGTAAGACAAGGGCCTCCCCGGAGCTGACGCCTACTGTGGGACGTCGTCGAAGACTCTCATTGGAAGGATCTTGTCGACCGTTGAACTTGTGTCAGAAAAGAGCTGGCGACTATCTTGCAACCTAAGAATACCATATCGCGTGTCAACGAATGGGCTCGCTGGGTTCAGTTTGATGCTTGTTTTCCCGGCCGCGCCCCTGCGTAGCCTGCCGTGTCCAGGCCCAGCTCGCCTAGTTATTCGTTTCGCATTAAATGAGGGTCAACGGCTGATCTGCTGGTGTCCATTGCTGCCTCGAGTGCCGACGAGATAACGTGATACTCCAATCTGTACGCGGCTGCTTTTCAATCGATTAGAAATAAGAGGAATTGGCCCAAAACAGGAGGGTAAAAGTGATGATTGTGTGATGCTGCGTTCAAGTTCATGTTGTTGCCTTGTGCGAAGAGAGACGAGCCGACAAAGTTCCCATCTCGAGTGGGGCTGTCAGCATGCACAAGGCTGCGAGGCTTCTGATGATTGGCTTAGTCCGGGTCAATCCTTCACATTGCTATGGTAGCTTAAGTGGGTCCAATGCCCCAAGCTCCTTCAGGCAATCCGCTTTCTGACGTAGGTACCCCCGTACCTACCCGCACCGCAGCTGTAGACTGTACGGGAGCTTCAGAGCCTCCAACGGCGGCCATTCAGTTCAACTCCAAAACACCAACAAACCCACCGACCGGACCGACGACAGCAACCGGCAATTGCTTGTGGTCGACATCCACACACACACACACATACACAGCCATGACCATGACAGCAGCGACAACACAAAGGGCCCTTGCGCCCCTCGCGCGACATCAGCAAAGACTCCTCACATCGGCCACGGCCACCTCGGCGCGATCCCTCTCGACCCGTCGTCGAGCTCTGCTCCCCGCTTCCACAACAACTTCGACTTCCTCGACAGCAGTATCAAACTTCCACACCAGCGCCAACCATGCCATCCCCACGGGCGGCTTCGGCGGCGGCGGCGGCATCCCCACGTACTTCCAGAAGCCCTCGCTACCGGCCAACACCATCATCCGCTTCGTGCCCCAGCAGACAGCCTGGATCGTCGAACGCATGGGCAAATTCAACAGGATCCTGCAGCCCGGTCTGGCGATCCTGATCCCCTTCATCGACCGCATCGCCTACGTCAAGTCGCTGAAGGAAGTTGCTCACGAGATCCCCAGCCAGAGCGCCATCACGGCCGACAACGTCACGCTCGAGCTCGATGGTGTTTTGTACACGAGGGTGTTTGATGCTTACAAGGCGAGGTACGTCTTTTATCTTTCTTTCCCTTCCCCTCTGGGCCTCTCCCCCGACCATTCAATCAGCCATCGGTAACAATTATTCATATCTAACCTCCCCATCTCTCCCTCCCAACAGCTACGGCGTTGAAGACGCCGAATACGCCATCTCCCAACTCGCCCAAACAACCATGCGCTCCGAGATTGGCCAACTCACCCTCGACCACGTCCTGAAAGAGCGCGCCGCCCTCAACACCAACATCACAGCCGCCATCAACGAAGCCGCCCAAGCCTGGGGCGTCACCTGCTTGCGTTACGAGATCCGGGACATCCACGCGCCCAAGCCCGTCGTGGAAGCCATGCACCGCCAAGTCACCGCCGAGCGGTCCAAGCGGGCCGAGATCCTCGAGTCCGAAGGTCAGCGCCAGTCAGCCATCAACATCGCCGAGGGTAAGAAGCAGAGCGTCATCTTGGCCTCTGAAGCGATGAAGGCCGAGCAGATTAACCGCGCCAGCGGTCAGGCGGAGGCCATCAGGCTGAAGGCGGTGGCTACGGCGGGAGGCATTGAGGCGGTGGCGAGGGCAATTGCGGAGGGTCAGGGAGCGGCGCAGAATGCCGTCAGTCTGAGCGTGGCGGAGAAGTACGTCGATGCGTTTGGCAAGTTGGCCAAGGAGGGCACGGCGGTGGTGGTGCCGGGAAATGTGGGCGATATTGGCGGCATGATTGCTACTGCTCTGAGCGTCTATGGCAAGGTGGGTGATGCGCAGGCAAAGGCGATGGCCAAACAGTTGCTGGAGAAGCAGCAGCAGCAGCAGGGCGAGCAGCAAGAGGCGGATTCGCAAAAGGCTTTGCCCGGTGGTGTCGCTAAGCAGGAGTCGCCGGTGGACGATATCGTCAAGGGGTTCGATCAGGCTACTAAGCAGCGCTAGTCGGGCTGTGAGAACGAGAAGACAAATGTCCAGAAGAGGGAAGAGGAAATTCAGTGGCATAGGCATGAGCCGAATATCTACTGGTTGGGTTGATGTTTGAGTCGAGTCAAATTGACAGGCAAGACAAGAAACAGATGGATGCGAAGAGAGTTTCCATTTTTTTGACGCCCGGTTGTGGCTGTATTATTACTTACCCTTCCTCCTCCCCTTCCTGTGCGGTGGTTGTAACAAAAAGAGGTTGGAAGAAGAAAAACTCCAAACATAGCATTGTACGTATTGGAAGAAGAGCATGGCGATATGACCCTACTTACTCGTTTGGGCTCGAAACACCCTAGTAGCATGCATGGCGTTTAGTATGGACGAATTTGTTAATCACATCACTTTCTTATCGAAGTCATGCTAACGTTTGTGTAAGAACGAAATGGGCCTGAAAAGACTAAACATAACATAATTGAATGATCTCGCTCTACTGATACTACTACTTGCTCGTGAAAACATCTAAAATACAACATCCCTACTCATTACCGACGAATACTTTTCTGATGGGCTGGAAAAATCCCATTCGACGTCCATTAGCACTCACTCCGTCTACCACATCCCATTGACTGTCCCCATCCATCTCTTCCGCGTCTAGCCATCCTCTATCCCACCTCCCACTTACTTACAGTTCCCCCTTTTCCATTTGTATCATCCTTCCCCATTCCCCCCTCTCTCCCCTTCCAACCCCCCCTTCTCACCTACTTGTAATCACTTACACCCCAACTCCCCACCCACCACATCCAACGCCTCCCCCACCATACCCAAAACCCTATTATCCCCACTCGTCCCCGCCACCTTCACCATGCTCACCAGCAACGGGTACAACCTCAACAAATGCTTCTTGGTCTCGCTATCCACATTCGGCGTATCCGGAATCGCGTCCGGCTCCGATCGCAAGTCCACAAGGCCCCGTAAGATACGATAGAGTTCTTTCCGCTGGGACAAAGGCTGCGGCATACGGCCGCGCAAAGGCTGGTCGGCGACGTACGAACGGATGGAGAGCGCGCAGCGCAGGATCAGGTAGGGGGCGGCGGTTAGGGCGAGGTGGACGTAGAGAGGGTGGGTGGATTCGTGGATGGTTGTTTTATCAGGGGAAGAAGAAGAAGAAGAAGAAGAGGTGGTACCGATGGGTTCTTGAGTGGGGGATGATGAGGAAGTGGGTTTGGAGGGAGGAGACTCGTCCTCCTCGTGGATGGCGACCAGAGCAAAAAGTTCGTCGAGACAAACTTCTGCCATTGCGCTGCGGTGGGTTGGCGGGGGGTCGATGGTGCGGCCACGTCGTTGTTTGTAGAGGAGGTCGAGGTCTACGACTGCGTCACTTCCGTTTCCGTTGGGATTGCCGTTGGTGGTGTTGTCATGGTGATGGTCCTCCGAGCCGTAGATGATCAGAGCTTCGGCGGGTGCGGGAGCGTGGATGATGGATGTCCGGAAGAGACCTTCGGCGTAGGCTTTCCTGGTCTTATCAAGGATCACCTCGGCGCCGAGAGCCGGAATGATGAGCTCCCTTAGCTTGTGAAATGAGGAGATGTCGAACTTCTGGTCGTCCATGATGTCCGTGCCGCTGGGCGCGATGGAACAGTCAGCGCTGATGATTCCGTTGGCGATGGATACGATGATCTGCCATATCTCCTGGACGGTCGATCGAGCTTTATCTATCGCGCGGATGTGGGGAAGTGTTGCCTTGAGCACAGCTAGCACTGTCTTTGTCGCTTCTCTCCACGGCTGTGATGACTTGGTAACGATCTTGAACTTGTACTTGAGGATGATGGGCTTGGCCAGGGCTGCGAGCGCCGCGGCGAACGCTCCGGTTTCGTAGATGTCAGTCTCGGCTGCGTGCTTGATGACGAGGGACTGCAAGATAGACATGCTCTCCTTTGACATGGCAACGAATGTGCGCTTTTCTGACGCCGCCTTGTCGGGGTCCTCCTGGGCAAATGCCAGGGAGACGAACTCAGCTATCTGGGTGATCATGGCGGATGGAACTCTTGGTACGTCTGTCTGGACTGTGCAGAATACCTGGAGGATTCGACCTTGCAAGGGCGTGACATACTCGGTGTCGCTGGCGTATGCTCCGGGAGTGGCATGTTGCATGGCGTCTCTGAGCAGGGTAAGCATCCGTCGGATCCTCTCCACGCCAAAATCATCTTTAATGAGGCCGTAGAGTTCTAGCAGTGCTTCAACCCAAACCAAAAGGCACTTTTGGTTGTCCGCTGACTTATCGTCCTTTCCGTCCTCGGGAACTGGAATTCCCCTGGACCAGAGATCCCACGTTAAATCCAAGCTGCCCTTGCCAAGTCTTGGCTGAACATGTTCAGCACAGCTCCTGAGAATTTCGCGAACAGCGCTGTAGACGGATGCATTAATGTCAAGTATCTGGACGTCCAGCATTCTCGCAAAGTGCCCGAGAAGCTGCTGCCAGGTGGTGGCGAAGTCCTCATGACCCAGAAGTACCTGGAGGTAAGAAGCAAACAGTCCAGAAACGCCCCGGATGATGACATTGGCCGTGTCTGTCCAGCCGTCTTGGTCTCTTTCTTTGGCTGGAGACGTATGAACTGCCCGAAGCTCGTCCTCTATCGACGCAAGAAGCCTCAGAATCACAGACCTGATGCAGATCAACCAGGCCTCAGGACTCAGGCTATCTCCGTAAGCGGATATGATCCGAAGCAGAGTTTGGACGGCACCTACGGAACCTGTTAGTGAGTCTCATGACACCACGGACCTCAAAAAACTCACTATTTCTCAGCTCTAGTCTCTGATCTGTGGCAACTGAAGTGAGTCTCAGGAGAAGGAGCATCCACAGCGCCCCGCCAGAATCTTGATGGGAGGGATCAGCAGCCAGCTTGAGAAGCGCTTCATCACCCGAGTCATTAACCATGTCCTGCGTGAGCGACATGCTCTTGCTATTGCTAGAAAGAAAGTCCGAAATGGCCCAGAAGAACGTGACCGTCTGTCCAATGTTAGCGTTACCACAACTCGGATGGGCGTAGGTGACTTACAGTTAATGCGACATTGAGGTCATCATCTTGAGTACAAAACTTGTATAGGGTGTCAACGAGGTTGAGAAAACAAAGGTTAGGTAGCGAGGGTAAGAAGTCGGAGCATATTAGCTGTAAAGAAGCAAAGGAAGGTCGGATTAGCTTGACTGAGCGCGTCATAAGTCGGGGTGTCGTGGTGGATGAAGGGTCTTTTGGGAGGTCTTCTTTGACGAAGATTGTATCGATAATGGCGAAGATGGTATCCCAGCCTTGAACAAGACTCTCGCCGCAGTTCTCAAGCAGGCCTTTGAGGCCTTCGAGTACAATTCGGTGAATGTCCATGTCGGTGGCGTGATTGCTAAGGGACACCTCCCGACCTTCGACTCGAAGAGATGATAGCGAATTATGGAAAGCCTCGAGAATACGAATCTGGATCGGGCCACGAACGTCTTCCTGCTGAGTTGCAATAGATCCAGCAGCCTCTAGAAGAATGCGCACAAGTGTTTCAGCAGCTCGCGCTCTGACCGGAGAAGTATTAGTAGAGGCACTAAGTGTGTCGATAAGCTCGGTAATCAACGGCGTCCAGCCCGATACTTCCGGAGGATAGGAAAGCAACCGCTCCATGTTGATGGAAGCAAGATCTCCCAGCTTGGCAAGAGCAAACTGATCTTCCTGGTTGGCACCTGCTCCCGGAGAAGTTGTGATACTGAGAACCCTTTTGTGTGTAAAAGTGGGGGTGCGAAGGGGCCCCGGGGGAGGTGATGGCTGCGCTTGCCCCGTGGTCTCAGAAGTAGTCTCGACATGCTTGACGAGAAGAGCGCACACTGCCTCCACAATTTCCACAAAAGCAGAATTGGGAAAGTCAGCCGTGCTCTCGAAAAGTCGGGAGGCAGCAGTCTCTACTGCGCGAATCTCGGTGTTGAAATTCGACAATAGTACGTTGGCTTCCTGCTCGGCTTGTTGATCTGGCCCCCTGGTCGCCAGAGGTGTTCTTCCTGCAGCTTTGCCCGAGGTAAACAAGACAAAGTCAGCTTGCTGCAAAGTCTCGAGGAGAATTCTCCAAGTTGAAGACAAAGTAGGACCCAGAGCAATGCCAAGGTTCAGAAGAGCCCGAAGACACAGCAAGTTCCGGGTGTTGAGTGTAGCTGGAGTTATGTCCATCGATTGCTGCCTTTGCTTCTCTGCTGCCTGGGCCGAAGCGCTTTCTGGGGTAAGCAAGCCGCGAGCGTTGCTAAACAAGCTGCCGCCTGTCTCCGAAGTGGCTGATAGTGGAGTGTCCCTCCTGGATGAGTTGGAATTGAGGCAAGCCGTAAAGACATTGGGCGGCACTGCCGCTTTACCAAGCGTGGTGAGAAAGGCATCACGGGGAGTAGTGAGCTGGAGCAATCCGGCCACATGGGCGAATTTCTGAAACGCCCTAACCAGGCCATGGTAGTACTCCGAGTCCAGTGCAGAGTATAGGAACGTAGAACATGTGGCAAGAATCGCCGGCCAGCATTCGTCGATGAAAGCGGCGCATACTTTGATTTCTGGGTATAGAGGGTGAGTCTCCAGCGTTAGCGGATTGACTGGAAGTGGGTTTCGCTTGGCTGACGCTGATCTCTCCCGATTCTTCAACCCTTCACTGGGTGTACCGGGTCTCTCATCGGCGGTCAGAGCAGGCGAGTCACGGCCGCCCTCTGGCTTTGCACTCTTTTTCCTTCGTCCCTCGGTAGGCACGGTAAGAGGGAGTATGAACTTTGCCAGGCCTTCTGACAGGGAAGTTATGCAGGCCAAGGTTAGGCTATACACATATGACTCTGGGATGCTTGGGGGGTCCGTCTTATCAAGCTGATCTATGCAGGGAGAGCGCATGGTGCTCCAGTGAGTGCTGATGCCCGTGTTATGGCCATCTGAGCTGACTGAACCAGATATGATGCCTGTAACGCCACTGGCCTCCAGCATGGCCTGGTCCGTAGAAGCAACGGCATTTGCATATGGGTTGGCGACTGGTAATGTGGATTGGAGCCCGAGACCAATCACAGTTGGTTTTTCTGTACTGACGCGCACAAACGCAGCCGTCAGATTTTTGAGAATGTTCTTTTCACCCTCTTTCGCATCGTAAAGCATGAAAATGCGCCGGAGCAAGGCATGATCGGCGAAGATACCTCTGAAAACTTCCATGCAGAGTGACCGCTTCCATAATGCAGTGTCCTGGTCCAGCAGTTGGGTAAGGATGTCGAGGGCATCTCCGCTTTCAGAGGGGAGAATAGTCAGGTGGCGTCGGAGCAAAGTGAACAAGATGCGGACAAGACGGACACTGGTTGCAAAGTTCGGTTTACCGCGAAGAGCACTAATGATGAAGGGCATAACCCGAGTGCGTAAAATATCGGCCTGCTCTGGGTGAGTGGTGAAGATGGCAGCATGGTTGGTCAAGACCGATTCTATGAGTTCGAGACCGAATGTCTGGGGCATGCCAGAGAACCGGAGATACTCGGGTCGTTGGTTCTCTGTCAACAGGCAGATATCGTTGAATACCTATTTAATCAGTATGTGATAGCCCGTGCAGGAAAAGGGGAAGAGTAAATACCCTGTATGCATCCATAGCCGCAGCCTGGACTGGTACCGGCCCTTGCTGGGAGGGAGCCTCCCCAACATATTCGACATCGCCCCCAGCGCCTGCGAATAGTGGTTAGAATCACGATACTCGGCCTTTTATATCCTTGCGTAGGATGAGCCACTCACCATCTTCAGCTACCACTTTGTCAAAGACCGACACCACAAGCTGCTGGAGGGTTGCCGCCGAAGCATTGTTGACAATGGCATTTTTACTAGACTGCAAGATGAAGCATATGTTGAGGGCGGTAACCAGAAGCTCGCCTTTCACCTCGGCGGCGTAGTTGGAGAGTAAAGACGGAAGAGCTTGGAGGATCTTTAGCTGGACATCTAGTCCAGCTGACGTGGCCTGTTGCAATGCTTCAAGAACCTGGCTCAGCTTGAACCTGGGCAGGGCGCGTGATGCAATGAGCCGCTGAAGACAAACAATGGCAATTCCGGTGAACTTGACATTTTTGGTGCCGCAAGCGATGATAAATGGATTAACAAAGTTGGATCGTTGAGAGAGTTCTAGGCGAGTAAGTGTAAGCTTCTATCAGACACATCACACGTGGTGGCAGTTATCCCCTGGGCAGTGAGGAAGGTGAAGAACAGCAAAGACACACCAGCAGATATTTGGGCTTCAGATGTCACTTTTAGACTCTTGAGCTCCTCCAGAGACTTTTCAGCGGCCTAAACCAGGAATAGTCAATGATGGGTTCTTTGTAGTTGGATTAGAGATAAGTGAGATACGGACCTGGCGCAAGTCATTATTTTTGCGCTTGCTTTCCTGGATGAGGTTGGCAAGCTCGGATGCCACCAATTGGGCGGTCATGATCGCATCCCAACAAAACCTAAAGTCGGGTTGCCAGCATCAGGGTTCTGAGATACTAGGAACAGTGAACGGAAAAGGTCAGGGGCGTCAAGTGTCCTTGATATCGGGTTTGAACGCGCGTCGTCGTAGGATGCTCAAGGATCGATGAAAGCTGTAAACCGATGATACCGATTCCAATTGGTGAAGGGTGAGGATGGTGTTGGCCAGCAAACGCCCCAGATATTGGACCTTGTGACCTTGATAATGGGAGCGGTCCTTATGTAGGTAAAGTCGATGGGCAGCAGTGAAGCGTTTAGCAGGAAGAAGTTGGGTGGGAAATTAAATTCGAAACAAACAGGAATGGCCGAGTAATTCGTCCTAGGGACTCGTCGTGTCCTGGAACGGTTCTCGTCTTTTCCACCCGAATCAGGGGATGTTAAAACAGTTATTAGGCGACCAAGTGTTGTTGTTGAAATAAAGAACAACCTCAAGGACGGGATGCGCCGTTGACACGCCGGGACGGGACGGCTTCAGTGGTCGCCGTCACTGGAAGCTCCGTGTTCACTGTCCACGGCCCGCTGAAGGACGGAAGGCACGGACCAGGGAGCGAGCTCGGGGGGTAGGTACCTACTAACCTCAAGTGGCTCCTGTCATTAGGTAATTGTAATTACACAGTACCTAACACACACCCGGCAGAATGGCTCACCGCCTGACTATACACCCCACCTTGTACCTACTATTAGTGTACATAATGTTATGGTCCCCGCAATGCCGCTCTGCTGGGGCCTGACAGCGACATGCGCAGCACACTGACAGGGCCTTGCATTAGGTCACTCACTCACTCACTCACAGCCTACCTTCCACCTTCACTGCGCAAACGGATCGCCTGTGTTCTGGGCTTCTTTGAACTTCCACTCTCTCGCTTTCTCTGTCACACGTCATTTCCGAATCAACCATCGCGAGACGACAGTATTAAGAAACAATGGCGGTTGCTCAGGTGCCCCGCAACTTCAAGCTTCTCGCTGAGCTCGAGAAGGGCGAGAAGGGAATGGGCGCAGGTGCGTCTTCTTTTCCATGTTGGCGATGCGTTATGAATGCTGGACTGACGATACTGGTGATCTGCTTCATCCGATATACAGGTGCCTGCTCCTACGGCCTCGAAGACCCCGAGGACATCCTCATGACCCACTGGACTGGTACCATCTGGGGCCCCCCGCACGTACGATTACTCCCTCCCGTCTTGGTCGCCGTCATCGCCGCTCTCTCTCGGCTAACAATGGTCTGAATAGGGCAACCACGAGAACCGCATCTATGAACTCAAGATGGAGTGTGGCGCCAACTACCCCAAAGAGCCCCCCGTCATCCACTTTGTTAGCCAGATCAACCTTCCCGGTGTCAGCCAAACCGACGGCCGCGTCGACCCCAACTACGTCGGCATCCTGCGCGACTGGACTCGCATCTCCGCCGAGCTTTCGAGAAACCCCCGCCCGAAAGAGGATCCCTTGAGCCTCGAGGCTGCTCTTATCGCCATTAGAAAGTACGTCTGACCGGAGAACAAAGCAATACGCACAGAGGAAAACAGAAAGGCGCTAACAATGCGACATTGCAGGTATATGGAAGAGCACAAGAAGCTCCCGCAGCCTCCCGAGGGCTCCAAGTACCCCATGTACAAGTAAACATCTACCGGTACCGGATAGAAGCAACAGGTTCTTAATACATTTTGGCGCATGTTCATATCATGTTCTGGTGTTTGGGGTTTTGTTATGGGAGCTAGGGAAGCATTGTACAATTCGTATGCAAACCAAAGTTATGACGCTTTACCACAGCGGTGACCGTCGTCTCGACGACCATGCGAATCGTTCAAAGAGGCCGTAACATGCTGAACGTGTCTGGCGGTTTCCACGTACATACAGGCACTACAACAGTCGGCAAATAGGTACAGCCCACAGAGTTTGGAAGCATAGGGAACCATCATGATACACTTGCCAAGATCGCTAAAGCAGACGAGCATAAAGAGAACTTTCTTTGTCCTTTCCAGTAAGAAAATACGCAGCGCAACTTTACAAGTAGTGTTGGTACATGTCATTAGAAAGTACAAGTTGACGCACGTGACAGCGCGTCTGTGTCGAAAGATCAGACAAAAGCGATTATGTCACAGGTCCAATGTCTCCACTTCGAAACGATACCTTTCCCAAAGTCGGTTTTCGACCCCAAAACAAAACTCCAACACTTCAGTCACAACCTTCAAAAGGGCCCTGAACCCTAGATCTAGGCTCGACAGATGAATGCCTGCTTTCATTAAGCCCGGCTGCGATTCGCGGCATCGCTTTGCCTGTAAGGCCTACATCTTCTAGCATGTCATTGCTTCAGTTGTTTCTGACAGAGGCTCGTCCACCAAACAGGCAAAGCTCTCTTCAGAGCTCTTCTTCGCACGGGCTACCGTGTCCCTCTACCCCATGATGTCGCTACCGCTCTAGACGAAAAGCAAAACCCCATTCGTGCTCTCATTCGCAATGGTTTTCGCCGCAACAGCTCCGAGACCAGCTTGCGCCTGGTCAACTCGGCACTCAACAAAGGCTACCGCTTCCTCGAACTGCTCACCCTCGCGCGCGACGAGTCCTCCCCCGCCCATGCCGACCTTCTCCGATTTCTACGCGAAAACAATGAGCGCGTCCTCGCCATACGAGAGAAGAAGCGCCAAGAGGCCGAGAAATTCAAGAAATTTGCGCCCAACCCTGACGCCATCCCTCTGCTAACCAAGATACCGAGCCCCAATGGCAAAGGACCCCCGACCTTTGTTCCTACCGTGCGTCCGCTGCCGCTGGAAAAGCTGTCCGGCGGCGTGCGCAAGTTGCCTACCCTCGACGAACTCGGCGGCCACCCGTTCCTGCGCCTGCGCAAGCCGCAATCCGAATACCTCGGCCGCGTGCTCCGACAGAAATTCCAGCGACGCCAGCGATGGGCCGAGAAGTACCACGAGCTCGTCAGCGAAGAGCTGGCCGATGCGGAGCAGGAGGATGCTTGGGACGACATGGTGGAGGAGATGTTGCACGGCGAGCCACAGCCGTGGGAAGAGCCAGGGTACTATGCTACAGACGGTGCGGGCCGGCAGCGATGGACGCAAAGCAAGCAATCGGCTAGGCGGGCGCGGACGAGCCATGGATCGTATGCGCACGCTGTCAAGCTGGCTATGGCAGACATCGAGCTCAAGCAAAAACGGGAGTGGGACGAGATGATTGCCAGGGGTAAGGCGTTGTGGAAGTTGGTGCTGGAGGAGAGGACTCTAGCCGAGAAGGAGAAGAAGAGCAGGAAAAAGAAGGAAAAGGTCCAAAGGAAGAGAGAGAGGAGGAGGGAGGCGAGGAGGTTGAGGAGGATAGCAAAGATGAAGGAGACGCTACGGAAGTGGAGGGTTAGGACTCAGGAGAGGAAGAAGAAGAAGGAAGGGACCGAGAGGAAAAAGCTACCAATGGAGCAGGAAGCGCGCCAATTGGAAGAGGCAAAGTCTCCAGAGCTGGCTACTGCTGAACAAGAGGCTAGGAAAATGGAGATTGAAGAGAACACGCCTGAGGAGGGACGTCTAAGGGGTTCCCAGGCATTGAAAGCGACCCGCCAACCCAAAAGGACCAATGTCCAGACAGTAGCGGATGTGAAGGGCACCGAATCCCCAGCAGTACCCGCAGAACCAGCAAAGGAACCCGCACCGAGCTTGGAAGAAACATCAGCATCTCTTGAGGAAAAAGAATTGCAACCGGACCCAGTTGAGGTACAACTTCAGGAGGAGCTAACACCAGCTTCCCCAGCGCCCAAGAAGAGAGGAAGGCCGAAGAAGGTGGATTCCGAGACCCTAGCGACAGAAGCCTCCACCGAGCCGGATACCACAGCGCCAAAGAGACGAGGCAGGCCACAAAAGGCGGTAACCCCTACCCAGGAAGAAGCTCCAAAGAAGCGCGGTAGGCCTCGGAAGGCAGTAGCCGCCACAGAGGAAGAGGCAGCTCCAAGAACCTCAGCTCAAATTACCGGCGCTTTACATGCCGGCGGCGTTGCGCGCGACACTTTCCCACCGACGGCCATCCATCCAACTGGACAAAATCAGATCCGGATACTACTGTGATTGTATGTGCTGATCCGCCTTCAGCAGACAGCATACAACTGGCCCAATTTCACCTCAGCTTTTTTCTGATAACTTGGAGGCTGAGCCGCCCAGGAGGAGGAAACACCAGGGATGTGGGCGGATGCATTAGAAGCCCGTTCAAAGGCAATTGCCTAGCTGAAGCTGAATTTAGAGAAGAGGGAAGACCCTAGAAAGAGATAACAGGAACGCTGGCGGTGGAATCTGGAGCTTTTCAAGAAGAGAGGGAGGCCAAAGAAGGTCATGACGATACTCTGCCAACATGAGCCTGATGCTGCTCTTACCACTACCACCCCGATTGCAAACAGCTTCATCCATTCTTCCAACAACTGCTTCAGCGGTAACCCCCCAGAAACCCAGCACGAGCAAAATAAAGCACCTCTTCCCTTCCGAAGCCGCATCCAGCCCTTCCTCATCTGCTCCCTCCACAAACACCACAACTACCACTGCAAATGAGAGCGTACATGCGCCGCCAACCCTAACGACCCTCTCGACCGGCTTCTGCAAGCTTTACCACCCCCTTCTCAAAGCGTCTCATCAAGCTTCCCACCAAACTCACGAGCAAAACTATAGCCTCAGCCGCCCAAGCCTTAGGCCCTAATTTGGAGAAAACAATGTATTATAAAATCGACGTCCAATTTCAAAGTTAAGACTGTCGCACACGAACGCGACATGAGATGGCTCGCCGAAGTAGCTTCAAGGGTCTCGAAACTGGGTAGTTGAGAGGATCAACAACATTGTCTGCCACCAGCATCGCGGAAATATACACTACGGATATGTGGGAGCGGATGCTTTGCAGGTGGGTCGAGATTGATAGACCCCCCGTCTCTCTGATCCGGGCATTTTAGAAAGATACCCGATTACTGGCCAGACTTCGACGTCAGAGTCGCAGGAGATAATGGTGATGTGTGCGAGTTTCAAGTATAAGATGGTTATGGATCAGCAGGCTGATCAGTCACATAAACTGAGTTTGCTAGTCAAGAGTTTGGGTGAAGATTGTGCTTGCAATGGGTATGTATGGCAGAAAGGGACAGAGGACAAGCTGGTGCTATGGTGTGGGGGAGGTGATGGAATTCGGGAAATGCGGAGACAAAAGGATTTTGCGCTGTGGGAAAGACAGCGGGAGGAAAGAAGAAGAAGAAGAAGAAGAAGAAGAAGAAGAAGAAGAAGAAGAAGAAGAAGAAGAAGAAGAAGAAGAAGAAGAAGAAGAAGAAGAAGAAGAAGAAGAAGAAGAAGAAGAAGAAGAAGAAGAGGTGGGAAGTTGGGATCTTGAATCTTTCTTGTTTCAAAGAGGAATAGGGAGAAAAGAGAACCGTTCGATGATCCGTAGGGTGTTGTTGACTGACCGGATGATTCGACGGCACTAAAGCCTACAGATTCCAATGAATGAATGGATAGTAGTAACTCGTGAACATCAAATACAACATCAAGTCGACAAACAGCTCTTTCTCGTCTTCTGTGTTGATTCCTACCTACCTACCTAGGTACATTTGTTACCCAACCCCTCCCTGTCCCGAACATGACGAAACAAGCCTTAGTTCCTTTAGTACTAATCTTCTACTGCTATGCACTTAACTTGTACCTACCTACCTACCTACCTACCTACCTAGGTACTTCTCAAGTGGAACTATTCATCACGATACCTTTAGCCGGTTACCTACCTACACACCTCTCCTCTAGATAGTTCCTTTTAGGCTACTACCACCACCACCACCACCACCACCACCACCAGGGGCACAGCCCAAAGTGGATCCCGTCCCGTCCACGGCACTCCATCCTTCTTCCCACTTACTTACTCTATAAGCTTGTGTCGCAGCATAGACACCTACTCAACATTGTACGTGGGGCGGATAGTTCAGTGGTAGAATATCTGTTTTGCAATCAATGCACTTGGATTATCAAGTGTTGCTTCTTACAGAAGGTCCCGTGTTCAATCCACGGTTCGTCCACACGCTTCTCTTCTTAATATTTTTTTTTTTCCTTTAATTTTGTTGTTGGTAAGATATTCGCGGTGTATGGAAGAGGGGGGTGGGTGACTACGTACCAATTGTTTGCTTTTCATTTTGTTCTGTGGTTGTTGATTGTCGTCGGATGTACGGGAAATTTTTTCAACTTCAGAAGTGCCGTTATAGTCAATTTGTCTTTGTTGGTGAGAGAGGGATGTTTAGTGTAGTTCCATGCCCCTACTTAGAATAGAGGTAGCTTTCAGTGTCTTGCCGGCTGCCCTGCTTTGTCCTTCAGAGTCTCTCTATTGTTCATCCCGTCCTCCTTCTCTTTTTACTTCAGTCATTGATGTTGCTCTTCATTCTGAATCTCCTGCGTGGTAACTTGTCACTGCATCTGGAATAGTCAAAAATCAATCACAATTACAGATTATTTACGCTTTTGTTCTAATTCGGATGAATATTTTTCTTACACGCCTTGATCCCTCCCATCCCATCCATGAAATTCCAGGCTACCTGTACCCAAAACCTGAAAGGGGAAAAAAAGAAAAATAAACAACCGTACCCAATACCCTAGGTACATTCCTACAAAGTCACAGCCATGGACAAACTCTTCCAAAAAGCCGCATTAATCTCCTCCACCCTAATGCCCGGCGTTCTCCCCAGACAAATGGCTCGTTCCGTCAGTTCGTTCACCAGCTGGTTGACGTCTATGGTCACTAGCATGCGTTGATTCCACATTTGCTGTGGTTGTTTGGGTGGAACCGGCAGTGGCTGATCGAAAGACGTAGTGGTGGTGGTGGTGGTGGTTGTGGTATTTTCAGTAGCGGATCTTGAGGACGATTCCGAACTCCTGGAGGACAAGTTGAACATATTCTTGCTGTTGTTATCTGGCGAGACCTCGGAGAATTCGAAGCTATCGTTTGCTTGTTGAGGAGCGCCGGTGGAAAGTGGTTTGTTTGTCGTCGTCGTCGTACAGTGTTGTTGTTGTTGTTGCTGTTGGTACCCGAAAAGCGGAGGATCATCGCTGATAATTGAGTTTGAACTGAAGTCCATCGAAGAAGGCAGTGATTCCACGTAAGCAGCAGTTGTTGGAGCATCGCAGTTCTGACCACCAAGCGAGTCAAGATAAGCCAAATCAAGTTCCTCCAACGACCCTGATCCTGATTCTGGTGGTCCTCCTGGTCCTTCTCCCCACCCAGCACCAGCACTACCGCCAACACCAAACTGCGCCGGATAAATCTCCACAGTGTACGAATCCGCTCCGGGCGGGATCACGACCCCTCGTTGATGAAAGTAAAACTCAACTTCATCGCAATCGTAATACGTCCCTTCAAACCCGGGCAGATACATCTTCATGTCCTTATCCAGAAAGTTATCCCTCGCGCTATTGACAGCAGGCGGGAACGGACCCATGGCGAAGCCTGCCGTCAGCTCTGCGTGTGGTTTTAGGACGTCAATAGTCCCCTGATTACCGACCTGCAAGTTAAGTTGCATCTTCATGCCCGCTTCTGGCGTAAGGGTGCTGTTCAAGGGTCCTCCGGGTCCACTTTGGTGCAAGTTGTGCGTCCCGGCCCCACCGAGATGGTAAAAGGGGTACTGCCAGTTGTAGAGGCTCTCGCCGGCCCTCCTGGCGATGGCTCTGCACGTTCGTTGGAAGATCATGTCGGGCGACTCAAAGAGGAAGCAGAAGCCGAAGGTTCTGTTGAGCTGGTCGAGCGGTGGGTTGGGCATGGTGACCAGCATATGGGCGCGCTCTACGGCGAAGCGCTGGTAGCGGCGGCCGAAGGTGGTTTCGTGTGAGGCGTAGGAGAATGGGGTGGGAAGAGTGGAATAGGGGGATGGAACCGTTGGGTGTAGTTGGGCTAGGGGCTGTTGAGAGAGGAAGTCGAGGTCGAAGTCTATTGTGGCAAAGTCGAAGGCCTTGGAGATAGATGGGGCGGTGGTGGTTGGAAGGAATTCGGCTGCTTGGCTGGTGGTTGGTATGGAGAGACTCAAGTCTGTTGCCGGGGCAGTGGTCAAGTAACTTTGAGAAATTGGCTCGTGAGTGATGGTGAGGCCTGGGTAAAGCTGAGGGGGTGACTTGGTGGCTGATGGTTCCGTCGCATGCTCCGGGGAATTTCTTTGACTCTCTGGCTGTAAAGGTTCCTTTCGCCTGCGATGACTTCCAATGGACTCAGTTGTGCTCGTGCTTCCTCGTCGCCGTCCTTCATGATGGTCATTTGCGTCAATGTCATCACCACCGGCTTGTGTGATGGTGATGAACCTTTTCTTGGTAGCGAGGAGCTGTCTGCCTAATTCTGTAGAGTTGTCTAGTAAACCACTGGCGACGACAGAGTCATGGAATTCCATAAAAGCATTGCTCATTTCTCGGTTGACCTGTTGTAAACTTTCGACTTGTTTCTCCAATGTTTGTATAGTCGTCTCTTTGCGGTTCCGGTATGCGCGCTGTGCTAGACGTATTTGGGTTCGTCGACGCTACAGGACCATCAGCATCACCACTTTCAGACTACAATTGTAATCTGCACTCACGTCAGCAGCAGTCTGATCACTGACGTCTAACCGCGGACGTCCGCGGGCCCGTTTAGTTTCATCTTTTTCGCGTGTCCCGACTTCTTCCTCTTGTAGTCTTGGACGTTTCCGCGGACCGCCCTCTTCAGGTCGTTGGCTTGCAACAGTGGAGCGTGACTGACGAGTCAATCGGGATCGAGCCCGTGTCTGGGCGAGGGGGTCAGGATAGGTCTCGGCGCCGAGTATTGCTAGGTCGCCTCCAGGATATCGCATCATGGACTGCATAGTCGATGATTGCTGGGTTTAAAATGAAGCTGGAGACTGGGATTGATGGTCGATAAACAGGGAAAGATGACAACTTGAAAGATGCTTGGAAGTCTGACGGTCGAGCTGAAGGAAGGGGAAGGAACGCCAAGACCTGGGGTAGTCGCAGGTTGGAAATGGAGCGGTTCCGTCTCACAAACGTGCACAATAACAAAGCGCATCCAGTGTCCGAAATGTAGTTGTGTACACTAGGTATTCAGAAAACACACACACTTTGTTGGACATCTGAAAAGACGTTGAGCAAAATGTTGACGATCTGATAAGATGCAGGGCGGTTGAGATGGGATCCCCTTGACCGTTTCAGCCCCGGCTGTTTTCCGACGGTGTCTAGTTGAGGCGACCCCCCTTGTGGGGCTCATTTGCAGCCAACCTACGTCCGACTCGCAGGTGTAAATGTCGAAGGTATACCCCACAACATGTAAAATGTAGTTAAATACATATAAGTTTCATATCTAACAATATATACTTAATATATATATTATATATAAATTCGATGTTTTAATACTATTTATACGATGCTTTTATAAATTTTATTAATTATAAAAGAAGTTGTAAGGATATTAATATTTTTTTTTTTTAAATAGATATTGAATAGAAGATAGAAAGTAAATATATTAAATGAACTATTGGGAAGAGGGTTTAAAAAATAAAAATTATTAGTTAGTTTTTATTTTTTCTCTCCTTTAATAATATTATTAATAATTATTAGTAATTGTTGTAATATTAAATAATTATATCCTAGGAGTAAATTAATTAGTTTCTACGGGGTTTCTACGGCCTTTTTTTTCCGCGGGGTTTCCGTGTGGTTTCTGCGTAGTTGACTTTTTTCCGTGTAGTTTCCGTGTAGTTGACTTTTTTTCCGTATAGTTTTTATAGGGTTAATTATTTTCTTACTTTTTTTTTAAGTATAAATTAATATTATTTTTTTTTAGAAAGCCTTTAATAAGTATTAGAAGTTTAATATCTAACCCGATAGTTTGCCCGCGGTTGTAATTATAATTAATATATTACCCGCCGGAGTAAGTATAAGGTTTTTTAGGTTTTTTAAAGGTTTTAGAAACTATTTCGAAACCCCTTACTAATTATTTATTTTTATTAGAGTAAGTAATATTGTACTATTAAGTTTTATTTATATAAGAAGTTCTATCGTATACCGGCCGAGGGCAGTAAATTCTATTTTTATACTAAGGCTATAATTAAGGATTTTCTTTATTACTATTATAAAAATAAATATAATATTATTTTAAGTATTAAGAAGGATGGGCGCGTAATTATAAATATTAGTAGTCGGCCTAGTTTTGAAAAATAGACTATAATTATTAGTAAGTTAATATTTTCTTTTATATTTTCTAAGGGGTTTATTAAGGGGTTTGGAATAGGGTTTTAAAAGGGTAATTAAGGGTAAAAAAACCGTTAACGAATATAAATATAATATAGCTTAGTATAAGTTATTAAAATATATTTTTAATATTATTATTATAAATATTACGGAATTTAATAGGTAGATCGCCGAACTTAAGAAGGCGGCGCCCTCCCCCGCAAAGAAGAAGATGGAGCGTGCTATAGAGTGCGTTGCTATTGTGTAGGTTACTACGGCTAAAAGTAAATACTATATTATAGTTTTTCGAGGGGTTTTGGGAGGTATATATAGGGGTTGTAAAAGGCTTTTAAAGCGTTTAGAAATCCTTAAAAAAATTATTCGAAAACCGTTCGGAAATTATTTATAAACTTTTTAATAATATTTTAGAAACCCTTTAGAAACCCTTTACTAATATATTATTAGAGGTTTAAAAAGTTATTACTAAAGTAATATATATTAAAAGTATTAAATTCGAATAGTAGTAAGAGGCTAAGGCCTATAAGCGGGTAGTATAGTATATAGAGTATAGTATTAACTTTAAATAGGTATTTAAAAAGGATTTTAAAGGCCTTTTTATTAATAATATCCGTAAGGCCTTTCGTAAATTTTCTAATACGAATAATAATTTGGGCGAATTATTAGACGGCGGAAAATATTATTCCGGCTATAAATACGTTGGGCGTAAGTTTTTACTCCCTTTTTAAAACCCTTTAATATTTATTTTTTTAATAATTATTAAAAATTTATTAATTTTTTAAAAACCTTAGTTAATTATTAAATTTATAGTTACCCTTTATAATTATAATAATATACAAATCTATTACTTAGCTCGTACCTTCGGCCCTCTAAAGGATATTATCCTTACTATTAATATAGTAAGTATATAATTCTATAAGGAGGAGGATGAAGTTTAGGAATATATAAAAGTACCTGTGGAGGTTAATTATGCTAAATGTAATTTCTAAAAGTACGTTAATAAATATTATTAATATTATACTATTAATAAAATATACTTTGACCCTAAGGATAATAATAGTAATAAGGATGATAATAAGGAAGAAGATGGCAGTAAAGATAATATTAGTGAAGCCTAATTTTGAAGTTGGGCTAGGGTTTCCTAATAATTAGGTACGGGTTTAGTATAATCTTTTTATAGTATTTTTCTTTACTTTCCTTAAGTCTTCTTATAGTGTTTTTCCTTACTTTCCCTACGTCTTTTTATAATATTTTTCTTATAAAAACCGAAGCGTAAGTGCTAGTTGGGAGAAGGGTTTTTAAAGGGTTTTTAAAGGGTTTCGGAAGGGTTTAGGAAGGGTTTACGAAAAGTTAATAAAGGGTTATTGGAAGGTTATTTCTTTATTTTACAAGGGTTATTAAGGGGTTTTCGTAGGTTATAAAGTAATATATTATAGTATTAAATAGAATTTAGTATTTAATTTCCACCGTTTAATGATATTCAATTCCTACTTCTAATTTTAGTCTTTACTTGGTCTTTTCTAATGGTATATTACTATAAAAAAACCCCTTTAACTTTTATACATCTAGTGCACAAATTTTTTTTTTAAACAAAAAAATTACTAAGGTTTTTTAAAAAAAAGAAAATATTCGCTAAGGTTTTTTTAAAAAAAAATATTCGCTAAGGTTTTTTTTTAAAAAAAAATATTCGCTATAAAAAAAAAAAAACCTTAAAAAAAATCTAGTTTTTCTTTTTTAAAAAAAATAAAATAAATAGGAATTTCTTATTACAATATTGGTTTTTTTTTGAAAGTACTAAGATAGAAAAATTTAATAAAAATCTTAATTATTTTTGAATTAAAAAAATTATTTGAATTATTACTTCTATATATTTTTTTTATTATATATATAGAAAATAAATAATAAAGTTTCTTATTATAGCGTAATTAATTTTATATTCTAAATAAATATATATATATATATATATTTATAAATATTTTAAGAAAAACAAAAATAAAAGAATATAGTATCTTTTTATTTAAAAAAAGGAATTATAATTAATAATAACTTTTAAAGGTATATTATATATATATAAATTATTTATAAGTATTTAGATATATAAATTACCTTAAATTATTATATAAAACTTAATATAAAAAAAAGATATATAAAATTAGTTTCTATATATATATATTATTATAAAATTAATTATACTTCTAAAATATATAAAATTTAATTATATTTGTTAAATAAAAATGAAAATAGAATAATTATATTAAAATTTCAAATTATTTAAAAAAGATACTTAGTTTAGCTTTATATATTTAAATTAAATTATTTTTATTAATAAATAACTTTATAATATAGAAATTAACTAATAATTAATATTTTTGGAATTGTCAATAGCGTACCTTTATATAAATAATTTAAATTATTTTTTAGTAAGGGAATATATAGTAAAATATTTTGATTTATTTTTAAAAAAAGGGAATATAAGTAGTATATTTCTTAGTACTAGTCTTATTAAAGTTAATATATATAAAAGTATATTTTTTAATTTTATATTTTATATATTATATTTATATATAAAATATATATTAATTGTTTAAAAACCCTTTCTAATATATAATTTTTTATATTTGGAAATAATATATTTATTATATTTAGCCCCCTACCCCCCCCCCCCCTTTTCCTCCTTCCCCTCTTCTCTCCTCTACTTATTATCTCTCCTCTCTCTATTTATAAGTACTTTATTTTATTTATTTCTTCTTCGTTTTTTTCCTTATAATGTACTATCTACAATAGTATTAGTTAACTATGTATGTTTATATTTATTTATTCTCCCTCCCTATTTTAATAATAATTTACAAATAATTTAGCCCAATTACTAACTATATATAGCGCCGGACACGCGTCCTACGCGCTATCTAGTATGGATTATCTATGTAAGTAAGGGGTTTCTAAAATTTAAATAATTCTATAATAAGCTTTTATAAATTAGTTATTAATATAAGATAGGGTGGTAGTATAATTATCTCCTATAGCGAAGTATATTATTATTTTCCTACTTTCTAGAGAGTGATAATTATTATATATAATATTATTAAACGTTTTCTTACTATACGGAAGCTTCGCGCTTACTTCGAATTATATTATAATTAAAAACGGACGATTGTATTATTTTACAATAGTAAACCTTCTATATTAATTATTTCGAGGGGAAAACGTATATTAGAAAACCCTATAATTTAGTTAATATTAGTTTAAAATTTATAATTTAGGATATTATAATAAATTTAGTTAAATATTTTTAATTAACGTAGAATATTCCGAATAATAGCGCTATTATAACTATAAATTGTTAGAGGAATTAATTTTTATAATTAAATTTATAAATAATATAAATATAATAGTAAATTTATATAAATAATACATTAATCCTATAATTGTAATTCGTTTTATATAGTATAATTATATAAATAACCTTATTTATCTATTAATACGAATTATTACTAATATACGTATATAGGTTACGGATATTACCTCCTTATATTCTATTTTAATATAGGGCGATAGAGGTTTAGAAACCGATTTTCGAAATTATAGAAGTTAGGAATCTTATACTATTTTCGGGTATTTGGATAGTAATTCGGAGGGTTAAACCGAATCGAGTCCTAAATAAAATAATATATTTATAGAGGATAATATAAATTTTTTTATATTATATTAACCGGTAATCTATTATTAAGTAATGCCTATATAGTATAAATACTATATATTTTCTTTACCGGTAGAAGGTAGCGATATATTAATAGTATCTTTAAATTTCGGCCGACTTAAATATCGCCCCGCTTACGAATAGAGTAAGGAATTAACTATAAATTCCTAAAATAACCCTCCGGAATAGAATATACCCGGGCCTCCGTAAGCTGACCTTTCTACCGAATTACCGGTTGTCGGTAGTAGTATA